CGACTGAAGCAGAGAAGAGCTGTTTTCACTGAAGCGACTGAAGCAGAGAAGAGCTGTTTTAACTGAAGCGACTGAAGCAGAGAAGAGCTGTTTTAACTGAAGCGACTGAAGCAGAGAAGAGCTGTTTTAACTGAAGCGACTGAAGCAGAGACGAGCTGTTTTAACTGAAGAGACTGAAGCAACGAAGAGCTGTTTTAACTGAAGTGACTGAAGCAGAGAAGAGCTGTTTTAACTGAAGCGACTGAAGCAGAGAAGAGCTGTTTTAACTGAAGCGATTGAAGCAGAGAAGAGCTGTTTTAACTGAAGCGACTGAAGCAGAGAAGAACTGTTTTAACTGAAGCGACTGAAGCAGAGAAGAGCTGTTTTAACTGAAGCGATTGAAGCAGAGAAGAGCTGTTTTAACTGAAGCGACTGAAGCAGAGAAGAGCTGTTTTAACTGAAGCGACTGAAGCAGAGAAGAGCTGTTTTAACTGAAGCGACTGAAGGAAAGTAGAGAAGAGCTGTTTTAACTGAAGCGACTGAAGCAGAGAAGGGCTGTTTTAACTGAAGCGACTGAAGCAGAGAAGAACTGTTTTAACTCAAGCGACTGAAGCAGAGAGAGAGCTGTTTTAACTGAAGCGACTGAAGCAGAGAAGAGCTGTTTTCACTGAAGCGACTGAAGCAGAGAAGAACTGTTTTAACTGAAGCGACTGAAGCAGAGAAGAGCTGTTTTAACTGAAACGACTGAAGCAGAGAAGAGCTGTTTTAACTGAAGCGACTGAAGCAGAGAAGAGCTGTTTTAACTGAAGCGACTGAAGCAGAGAAGAGCTGTTTTAACTGAAGCGACTGAAGCAGAGAAGAGCTGTTTTAACTGAAGCGACTGAAGCAGAGAAGAGCTGTTTTCACTGAAGCGACTGAAGCAGAGAAGAGCTGCTTTAACTGAAGCGACTGAAGCAGAGAAGAGCTGTTTTAACTGAAGCGACTGAAGCAGAGAAGAGCTGTTTTAACTGAAGCGACTGAAGCAGAGAAGAGCTGTTTTAACTGAAGCGACTGAAGCAGAGAAGAGCTGTTTTAACTGAAGCGACTGAAGCAGAGAAGAGCTGTTTTAACTGAAGCGACTGAAGCAGAGAAGAGATGTTTTAACTGAAGCGACTGAAGCAGAGAAGCGCTGTTTTAACTGAAGCGACTGAAGCAGAGAAGAGCTGTTTTAACTGAAGCAACTGAAGCAGAGAAGAGCTGTTTTCACTGAAGCGACTGAAGCAGAGAAGAGCTGTTTTAACTGAAGTGACTGAAGCAGAGAAGAGCTGTTTTAACTGAAACGACTGAAGCAGAGAAGAGCTGTTTTAACTGAAGCGACTGAAGCAGAGAAGAGCTGTTTTCACTGAAGCGACTGAAGCAGAGAAGAGCTGTTTTAACTGAAGTGACTGAAGCAGAGAAGAGCTGTTTTAACTGAAGTGACTGAAGCAGAGAAGAGCTGTTTTAACTGAAACGACTGAAGCAGAGAAGAGCTGTTTTAACTGAAACGACTGAAGCAGAGAAGAGCTGTTTATACTGAAACGACTGAAGCAGAGACGAGCTGTTTTAACTGAAGCAACTGAAGCAGAGAAGAGCTGTTTTCACTGAAGCAACTGAAGCAGAGAAGAGCTGTTTTAACGGAAGCAACTGAAGCAGAGAAGGGCTGTTTTAACTGAAGCAACTGAAGCAGAGAAGAGCTGTTTTCACTGAAGCGACTGAAGCAGAGAAGAGCTGCTTTAACTGAAGCGACTGAAGCAGAGAAGAGATGTTTTAACTGAAGAGACTGAAGCAGAGACGAGCTGTTTTAACGGAAGCGACTGAAGCAGAGAAGAGCTGTTTTAACTGAAACGACTGAAGCAGAGAAGAGCTGTTTTAACTGAAACGACTGAAGCAGAGACGAGCTGTTTTAACGGAAGCGACTGAAGCAGAGAAGAGCTGTTTTAACTGAAACGACTGAAGCAGAGAAGAGCTGCTTTAACTGAAGCGACTGAAGCAGAGAAGAGATGTTTTAACTGAAGAGACTGAAGCAGAGACGAGCTGTTTTAACGGAAGCGACTGAAGCAGAGAAGAGCTGTTTTAACTGAAACGACTGAAGCAGAGAAGAGCTGTTTTAACTGAAACGACTGAAGCAGAGACGAGCTGTTTTAACGGAAGCGACTGAAGCAGAGAAGAGCTGTTTTAACTGAAACGACTGAAGCAGAGAAGGGCTGTTTTAACTGAAGCGACTGAAGCAGAGAAGAGCTGTTTTCACTGAAGCGACTGAAGCAGAGAAGAGCTGCTTTAACTGAAGCGACTGAAGCAGAGAAGAGCTGTTTTAACTGAAGCGACTGAAGCAGAGAAGAGCTGTTTTAACTGAAGCAACTGAAGCAGAGAAGAGCTGTTTTAACTGAAGCGACTGAAGCAGAGAAGAGCTGTTTTCACTGAAGCGACTGAAGCAGAGAAGAGCTGCTTTAACTGAAGCGACTGAAGCAGAGAAGAGCTGTTTTAACTGAAGCGACTGAAGCAGAGAAGAGCTGTTTTAACTGAAGAGACTGAAGCAGAGACGAGCTGTTTTAACGGAAGCGACTGAAGCAGAGAAGAGCTGTTTTAACTGAAACGACTGAAGCAGAGAAGAGCTGCTTTAACTGAAACGACTGAAGCAGAGAAGAGCTGTTTTCACTGAAGCGACTGAAGCAGAGAAGAGCTGCTTTAACTGAAGCGACTGAAGCAGAGAAGAGCTGTTTTCACTGAAGCGACTGAAGCAGAGAAGAGCTGTTTTCACTGAAGCGACTGAAGCAGAGAAGAGCTGCTTTAACTGAAGCGATTGAAGCAGAGAAGAGCTGTTTTAACTGAAGCGACTGAAGCAGAGAAGAGCTGTTTTAACTGAAGCGACTGAAGCAGAGAAGAGCTGTTTTAACTGAAGCGATTGAAGCAGAGAAGAGCTGTTTTAACTGAAGCGACTGAAGCAGAGACGAGCTGTTTTAACTGAAGAGACTGAAGCAGAGAAGAGCTGTTTTAACTGAAGTGACTGAAGCAGAGAAGAGCTGTTTTAACTGAAGCGACTGAAGCAGACAAGAACTGTTTTAACTCAAGCGACTGAAGCAGAGAAGAGCTGTTTTAACTGAAGCGACTGAAGCAGAGAAGAGCTGTTTTAACTGAAGCGACTAAAGCAGAGAAGAGCTGTTTTCACTGAAGCGACTGAAGCAGAGAAGAACTGTTTAAACTGAAGCGACTGAAGCAGAGAAGAGCTGTTTTAACTGAAACGACTGAAGCAGAGAAGAGCTGTTTTAACTGAAGCGACTGAAGCAGAGAAGAGCTGTTTTAACTGAAGCGACTGAAGCAGAGAAGAGCTGTTTTAACTGAAGCGACTGAAGCAGAGAAGAGCTGTTTTAACTGAAGCGACTGAAGCAGAGAAGAGCTGTTTTAACTGAAGCGACTGAAGCAGAGAAGAGCTGTTTTAACTGAAGCGACTGAAGCAGAGAAGAGCTGTTTTAACTGAAGCGACTGAAGCAGAGAAGAGCTGTTTTAACGGAAGCGACTGAAGCAGAGAGGAGCTGTTTTAACGGAAGCGACTGAAGCAGAGAAGAGCTGTTTTAACTGAAGCGACTGAAGCAGAGAAGAGCTGTTTTAACTGAAGCGACTGAAGCAGAGAAGAGCTGTTTTAACTGAAGCAGAGAAGAGCTGTTTTAACTGAAGCGACTGAAGCAGAGAAGAGCTGTTTTAACTGAAGTGACTGAAGCAGAGAAGAGCTGTTTTAACTGAAGCGACTGAAGCAGAGAAGAGCTGTTTTAACTGAAGCGACTGAAGCAGAGAAGAGCTGCTTTAACTGAAGCGACTGAAGCAGAGAAGAGCTGTTTTAACTGAAGCGACTGAAGCAGAGAAGAGCTGTTTTAACTGAAGCGACTGAAGCAGAGAAGAGCTGTTTTAACTGAAGCGACTGAAGCAGAGAAGAGCTGTTTTAACTGAAGCGACTGAAGCAGAGAAGAGCTGTTTTAACTGAAGCGACTGAAGCAGAGAAGAGCTGTTTTAACTGAAACGACTGAAGCAGAGAAGAGCTGTTTTAACTGAAGCAACTGAAGCAGAGAAGAGCTGTTTTAACTGAAGCGACTGAAGCAGAGAAGAGCTGCTTTAACTGAAACGACTGAAGCAGAGAAGAGCTGTTTTAACTGAAGCGACTGAAGCAGAGAAGAGCTGTTTTAACTGAAGAGACTGAAGCAGAGACGAGCTGTTTTAACGGAAGCGACTGAAGCAGAGAAGAGCTGTTTTAACTGAAACGACTGAAGCAGAGAAGAGCTGCTTTAACTGAAACGACTGAAGCAGAGAAGAGCTGTTTTCACTGAAGCGACTGAAGCAGAGAAGAGCTGCTTTAACTGAAGCGACTGAAGCAGAGAAGAGCTGTTTTCACTGAAGCGACTGAAGCAGAGAAGAGCTGTTTTCACTGAAGCGACTGAAGCAGAGAAGAGCTGCTTTAACTGAAGCGACTGAAGCAGAGAAGAGCTGTTTTAACTGAAGCGACTGAAGCAGAGAAGAGCTGTTTTAACTGAAGCGACTGAAGCAGAGAAGAGCTGTTTTAACTGAAGCGACTGAAGCAGAGACGAGCTGTTTTAACTGAAGAGACTGAAGCAGAGAAGAGCTGTTTTAACTGAAGCGACTGAAGCAGAGAAGAGCTGTTTTAAAGCTGAAGCTGTTTTAGCGACTGAAGCAGAGCTGTTTTAACTGAAGCGACTGAAGCAGAGAAGAGCTGTTTTAACTGAAACGACTGAAGCAGAGAAGAGCTGTTTTAACTGAAGCGACTGAAGCAGAGAAGAGCTGTTTTAACTGAAGCGACTGAAGCAGAGAAGAGCTGTTTTAACTGAAGCGACTGAAGCAGAGAAGAGCTGTTTTAACTGAAGCGACTGAAGCAGAGAAGAGCTGTTTTAACTGAAGCGACTGAAGCAGAGAAGAGCTGTTTTAACTGAAGCGACTGAAGCAGAGAAGAGCTCGTTTTAACTGAAGCGACTGTGTGTTTTCAGAGCGTGGTGAAGCTGATGAGAGGGATCCTGCAGTGCATCATGCGGCAGGTAAGACCTCATCATTCTAATATTATTACTATTATTACCGTAATTTGTTAGGTTGTTGTAAAGATCCAGACATAGAAAAAGTTTATTTGTATTGTACAGTTCATATTGATTCACAAAGCAACTCACAGTGCAATAACAAAACAAGATAGAAACAGTCCCCACAGCTAAACACAGGGACTGGCCTCCTGCTGGGACTCTGAGGAGCACAGGGACTGGCCTCCTGCTGGGACTCTGAGGAGCACAGGGACTGGCCTCCTGCTGGGACTCTGAGGAGCACAGGGACTGGCCTCCTGCTGGGACTCTGAGGAGCACAGGGACTGGCCTCCTGCTGGGACTCTGAGGAGCACAGGGACTGGCCTCCTGCTGGGACTCTGAGGAGCACAGGGACTGGCCTCCTGCTGGGACTCTGAGGAGCACAGGGACTGGCCTCCTGCTGGGACTCTGAGGAGCACAGGGACTGGCCTCCTGCTGGGACTCTGAGGAGCACAGGGACTGGCCTCCTGCTGGGACTCGGAGGAGCACAGGGACAGGCCTCCTGCTGGGACTCTGAGGAGCACAGGGACTGGCCTCCTGCTGGGACTCTGAGGAGCACAGGGACTGGCCTCCTGCTGGGACTCGGAGGAGCACAGGGACAGGCCTCCTGCTGGGACTCTGAGGAGCACAGGGACAGGCCTCCTGCTGGGACTCTGAGGAGCACAGGGACTGGCCTCCTGCTGGGACTCGGAGGAGCACAGGGACAGGCCTCCTGCTGGGACTCTGAGGAGCACAGGGACTGGCCTCCTGCTGGGACTCTGAGGAGCACAGGGACTGGCCTCCTGCTGGTCCCGGGGTCAGGACTAAACATGAGGAGGCTGTATTTCAGATGTATGTGAGACAGATTTCTTCTCTGACAATGTTCAAATCCAAGTTAACATTTGTTATTTTCATCTGTGCTACAACTGAGGGATTTTCTCTTCTACTGTGATTTATTCGTGAGTTTAACGTCTCGTGTGTATGAACTGTGCTTTACAAATAAACTCTCCTTTCCTAATCCCTAATCTAAATGCCTAAAAGGCATCCTAATCTGCATTAAACCCAAGCAGAATCATCCAAACGTTTGCGGTGTTTTCAGATGGACAAAGTGGAGAAGTTCAAGTACAGCCGCAGCACTTCGGACTCGCTTCACGCCAAGTACAACACCCAGACCTGTGCTCCGGTGGTGGCGGACGACGAGTGGGGCCATCTGCAGGTGGACGCCACGTCGCTGTTCCTGCTCTTCCTCGCTCAGATGACGGCCTCAGGTACAACTCACATTTATCTACATGACATTTATATATTGTGACTCTTTGTGGTCAGGGGTGTGGCATTTTACTTGTATTTTTTAAATGCTAACGAGGCAATTCTATTCATTCATGAACTTTAGCTTTCCACGTCTGAGCAATACATTTATTGTGCAAAGTCGCCCATCAAATAAATAACTGACATAGAGGGAGACGAGACGAGCTCAGACATGGGATAGACTTTTTCTGTGGTCTTCATCTTATCAGAAAATACATTATCAGAACTAAAGTTCTGTTGCATTTTCTTATTACAATTGTTGTTTTAGTTATTACTATCGTTGTCTGTCTGTCTGTCTGTCCTCCCACTTAAATCATAGCTCCTTCCTGAATATAATAAATTTGAATAAAGTGATGATGTCCCATGACTTCAAAATCCACTTTAATTAAAAGCAATTCTTGGCCTAAACAATTCAAAACTTCCTTTCACATCCAAATGCCACGCCTGGAGGTGGAAGCATGACTTTCTTTTAACCCTTAAAATGTTGCACACTTCTGTCTTTTGCACAATCTGAGTGATTCTATTTGTGCCAAATGTGACATGTACATTTCTGCATTGTGAGATCAATAAACTTTATCTTATGTTCTTGCTGTAAAGCTCAAGTGCTATCCACCTTGCCTCTAAAATCTCTGTTGCCATAGCGACGACAGAAACTCCTCATTATCTGTTGAATGGTATATAGGAGGATTTTCCCAAATTTTAGGAAAGAACCTCCCACTCCACTTTTGAAAAAATATCTCCCTGCTCCAGAGGCAACGCGGACTAAAACGTGTGCGAGAGACTCATATGCTCACTTTCCAAGACAATTTTCACTTTTCACACAATGTCAGAAGAAGAAAGACTTTATTGATTTCACAATGGAGAAATTCGGTTCAATGAATACACATCATGCAGCGTACTATTACTTCTGCGCTCCTTATCGACAAAGTGGGGTAAGTGTCTTGCCCAAGGATCCAACAACAGCAGACATCAGTGGAGTCGGTGGAGAAGGCCGCACGGTGCTCTACCCCAATATATAGACAATATAGACTTAGCCTGTTGCTGGTTCCAAGAGTCAGAACTAAACATGAGGAGGCAGCGTTTCAGATTTATGCCGCTAAAATTTGGAACAATCTTCCTGAAGATGTGAGGCTGGCATCTACTCTGGCAGTTTTCAAATCCAGGTTAAAATCAGTTCTGTTTAGCTGTGCATACAACTGAAGGATTTTATTTCTAACAACTGAAGGATTCTGTAATAACTTTTTAATGCACTGTGGCTATTTATTAATTCAATCCCGTGTGTGTTTTTAATGTTTTATGGTTTTTAATTACTTGTGATTTTATTGTTTTTAATATTTGTGGTTAAGAAGAGTGCAGAAAATCAGGTGCAGAAAAGGCGTAGTATAAGAAGAGTCAGGACACAGCCAGGACTATGTAATGCAGCGACAGTCGAGATTTGCTAAATGCTAGATTGTTTTGGGAAGCTAGCACTTGTCAAGTATGGCAGGCTAATCGCTCACTGACTTGAGCCCTAATGTAGTGTATTTACATTTCACATTTCAAGCTGAGAGGCTCCGTCACTGACAGCGTTTATGTGTGCTGGGAAAAGGATTTGGTGGAGGGCAGGGGGGCTTTGAGTCGGTGCTATACTCATGGTGCTAATGCTAAGCTAACCCTAATCATTAACTGCACCTTTAAAGCAATGGCCCGGGAAAAAATTTATTGTGGCTGCCTTGTGGACATCAAACTTCAATGTCGGTGCGAGTCTGTGCAAATATGTTATACATTGTTCTAAAGCAAATTGTGTTAGGAAAACAACCACAGCATTTATTTGAACATAAACATTGAACCCTGAATGCTATAAGTAATAGTTAAAGTATAGTAAAGCACAAGCAAAAATACAAACACTATTATTTGGTCGCAATACCTGCATGAAAAATTCAAAGAGTTTCCTTGATTTTTGCAATTTTTGTGTCTCTTTTGAGCCTGAACGTTTACTCTCTCAGCTGTTCTACAGGTATCTCTGCGTCTGCATAGATCCGTCTGCTCTGTTATTCATATATGTTGCCCACACACAAACATATTTCTGGCCCCGTTTCACCCAGACTCCAGCTCATTCGGCCCCTGATGAATGAGTTGGAGTCCCCTGTTTTAAAGTCTGTGAGGTGCTGTGTCCAGGTCTGCACATCGTCTTCACTCAGGACGAAGTGGACGTGGTGCAGAATCTCATGTTCTACATCGAGGCGGCGTACAAAGTGGCGGTGAGTCCAGACTGAAGACGCTCCAGAGTTCTGTTTGAATGTTTTCAGTGAACCAGGACTTATTTAATGCTTTAAAGTCTAGATTAAGCGCACTTTTGACATCCAACTGTTTTTATAATCTGTAATCTTAATTTATTGTGTGTAATGGTTGCTGCCTCTTTCCAGGACTCCCTTGAGGTTATTATTCTCAATGGGACTTTCCTGTTTGAATCAAAGTTAGATAAAAAAAAATAAAACATTTAATCAAACTTCTTTTCCTCAGGATTATGGGATGTGGGAGCGCGGAGACAAGACGAACCAGGGCATCACAGAGATCAACGCCAGCTCTATCGGGATGGCCAAGGTCAGGAGCAGGTCACAGCCTCATTACAAGTATGATCACAGGCCTCTTTCTGCAGCGGTCTCCAACCTTTTTCTTGGGAGAGCTACTTTTTCGGGAAAAAAGTGAGCTACTCCTTTTAGAATCAGAATCCTTTTTATTGCCATTGTCGGTAACAAGGAGCCACAAACTAGGAAATTGCTTTGGCTCAATGTGCAAAAAAGTTATAAAAGTAAAAATACATATAAGGCATGAAAAGGAAAATGATTATTATTGTTTCTTAAAATGACTACAATACGAGTTCACTCAGACAGTCGACAGAAGGGTGAGCTACAGTGGATTAAGTAGATTTCATCTTCATTTGAAAAAAATTCTTAAACCAATGGAAAAAACAGCTTTAGTCAATAATTTCCAGCACAGACAAATGTTTCACTTGTTCTATTGGCAAATCTTGTTTTTTGACAAAATTATTTTCTCCAATTTATTTAAAGGAGCAGTATGTAAAAATTTGGCCAAAAGTGGTACTGCAGTCTCTCCCACTCTCCCTGACTCAGGTTGCCAGATATGCAGACGAATCCAGCTGGGACCATAATAATAATAACTGAATAAGAGTTTTATCAACAACAAATCTATAACCAACACCTTTTTCACAAAGATAGAAATCCTGGTTTTATTCCTTGTTTTGTCGTTAATGATTTGAGAATCATAACGAGACCTTTCTTAGTTCTGCGCCACATGGTACTTTACCAGTGAGATTAGCTCGAAGCGGTGAGTTCTGGCGCCCGGATCATAGACTTTCTGATTGGTGAAACGGTGGAGGGCGGGACATCGAAATGAAAACAATAACAAGATTTAGGGGCTGGAAAAGTAATTTTTCAAATCTCTGTTATCAGTTAAAGAAGTATTGGAAAAGAGCATGTTTTTTAATGCCTTTTGACAGATTAGGGCCCTTTAAAGCTGCACTAACTGACTTTGGGATTTTGAAGCCGTGGACTCGCTGGCCTTTCTCTTTCTGCTCCCCTCCCCGCACCCACGAAGCTATCTCCCCCCACACACACCCACTGTTGGGACGGAGCTAGTGTCTCTCAATATGGATAATACATGGACATGGATTTGCACGTGGATGGCGTGACCATAGAACGATAGAACCGGGAAGCGCGGAGGAACGGGGCTTTCTTTTGGATGGCTGTCTCGCTGTGTAAGCAGTAACCGGTGACGAAGACGAGGAAGCTTCAGGTTAGCTCCTCGGCTTGTTGTGCTAACTCAGCTGTCTATGCTAACGGACCTGTAGATTTCTCACGAAAGTGGGGGCTAGTGGTTCGCTGTGATTGGTCACAATCTGCGACCCGAAACACATTCTCTTCCTTGTTTCATCAAAACTCGATCTAAAATATAATATCACGCCAGCACAAATCTGCGCTACTTTTTCTTCAAAAGGACGTATATCCCAATGCACTACATGGACATGGATAGCATTTTAGTAATTAATACAAAAATAAAGTCAGTTAGTGCAGCTTTAAGGATGACTTTACATGAACTTTTTCCCAATTTCTATATTTCGTTGGTATTTTTTGTTTAAAAAAATCTAAATCTATCATAATGTGTTCGTGCAAAGAAAAGGCATTTCTTATATTTACTCAATTATCCTTTGGGAAGCAACTTTGAAGAGGGTGGCGAGCAACTGTTAGCTCCTGAGCTACAGTTTGGAGACCCATGTCTTAGAGCTTTAGGACACTGACTCTCAAACTTTACTGTTGTATAACAAGTGAAAATAATGTGAAATCGAAAGCAGGGTTCAAATCAACATTGCTTCTGTGATTACATTTGCCTTAAAAGCCTTAAAGACCTTATGACGGGTTTGATTTATTTATAAATACAGTTTTAATACCATTTTATATTAGAAGAGAACTACTAAAGGTTTCAAAATCAGTTGTTGTTTTTTTTGTCTGATCCCCCCAAATCGAAATAACCCCATAGCAACGCCCTTAGAGACGAAAAAACTTCACAGCCCTTGGTGACGTCAGAGTGGGTACGTTTCAACGCTGTAAGTTGTTTACAATTTGGTATTCGTTCTTTTTTCGCGGATATTCAAGATGACAAGGCCGTGTACAGCGAGTATGAATTTACCACTAGATTGCAACACTTCATTGGCACTGAGATAGTCCAGTGGTTGTGTCGATGGACTGCCAATCCAGATACTTGGGTTCAAATCCCACCTCGGACACTTTTTCACTCTCAAAACGGCAATTTATGTGTAGTGAGCAATTGTCACCTGTAGAGGGCAGTATTGTGTTGGGCATCAGTGGAGAGAAGAGAGAAAAGGCAGTCCTGTGGAATAGATCCATGGTTTTCAATGCATGGGCGTAACCCGCTATGACGTCACACACAGGTTAGAGCATAGACAACTTAAATTCATGAAAAACACGTTCTTTTTATAAAATATAGGATTTTTTTTGCCGGAATCTCTTTCAGATTGACATTGTCATGCAATTTTGATATCCACTATTTTTTTTAAAACCCGTCATAAGGTCTTTAAATCACAACAACAGTCGTCTCAAATGACTTTACAAAGTTGTCAATTCGCCAACAACAGATCAGAGAATCTCAGGAAATGCGATGATAACAAACACATAGAAGCTCTTTGTGAAGTGCTTTGTAGGAAAGGCGCTCTACAAATAAAGATTGATTGACTGAAGCCATTGGTCCAGAGGAAGCAGAATGAGCACCGTCTATAAATGTTAATAAATGTCCATCAAAGTCCTGGAACCACTTAGCCTGGTCTTACCATACCATTGTACAAATTTCATTTTGTACTGTTTGGATTTGCTCCATCGACTCCGTTAACAGGTTAGGAGGGGCTAACTCCTTTTACAGATTGAAACGATTGGATCTGAGTTTACCGTGACGTATGTAATGAGCCCGAGTCAGAACGGCATTTAGAATTTAGCCTAGCTTTAGCATTTAGCCTAGCTTTAGCCATCTCCTTTGCCACTAACGGACCCCATAGGGAGTTATGCCACAACATCTTTGCTTCAATTCATTTGCTAAACATTCCTCTTGCTCCAGCTTCAATTTCTTGTTATTTTGAGCTGAACCAGAACAGATTACTTTAATATCGCATTCGGCGCCAAACCACAACCAGCAAATTCTGCGCAAACTCTTGACATCACCGACACCGACCTACAATGGCATATAACCGGACGTACACGTAGGAAATAATAACTGACCAGAGTTTACGGACGGCTAAGTCCAGGCTAGTAACCACTCAACCCTGTGTGAGGAAAAAAAAGAGGCATTTATCGGCAAAGCTTTAGTTTCAAAAGTCGGAAACCAACTCTGTCTATGATGTCAGAGTAAATAACAAGTTTGAAAACAAAGCGTTTAGACAGAAGGGGCTGTCTCTTCCTTCACCTAGAATAGACTCAGATGGACCACGCAGCCGAAAATAAACCAGAGAGAAGTCTGCAGACGGATCAGGTTCACCGTGATCCCTAGGAATGAGGCACGCACACAAATACATACACACACACATACATACACACACACACACATACATGCACATACATAAATACTAGGGCTGTCAAACGATTAAATTGTTTTAGTTGATTAATCGCATAGTAATGGTGATTTAACTCACGATTAATCGCATATTTAACATTCTATTTCAAATCCACTCCAATTGAAGTTAAATGAGATTATCAAATATAATTACCAGTATTGGGTAAGTTACTTTGAAAAAGTAATTAGTTATAGTTACTAGTTACTTCTTCCAAAAAGTAATTGACTTACTGAGTTACTCCACTATAAAAGTAACTAGTTACCAGTAAAAGTAACTATTGCGTGGTACCGAGCTTTAGCTGGCTGTAATTTAGGATAACTTCTAAGTAGATTAATTGTTGCAACAACCACACCCTATTTTAGTATGATATGTTAGTTTAGGGAACTGTCCTGCAGGCAAACAGGTATACGACAGACCAAGGTGCCATTTAATTAAATTGCATTTATTTTTATCCATTGATCAAACAAACAGATTACAAAACTTGCAATTGAAAGAGACTATTTTAAAATAATTAGTTCCCAAAAACACACACGAGCAACACTCACGCCTGACAGACAAGAACCAGGGAGAATACAATACGCAGAGCGCGCCTGACAGACAAGAACCAGGGAAAATACAGTGCGCAGAGCGCGCCTGACAGTCAAGAACCAGGGAGAATACAGTACGCAGAGCGCGCCTGACAGTCAAGAACCAGGGAGAATACAGTACGCAGAGCGCTGAGTTTGTGAACGGAGCAATCGCTTGCTGCTGTTATTATAATAGCTAGATCCATGCTTGCAGCCCGTGCAAAGCTTGCACTCACTCACAGCCGCTAACAACAACCAGAGCGGCCACGGAGGAGGCCATCTCACACGCAGCATTCTGAGTGATATTCTTATGGATAAATGGGCGGGTCATTTGAAAATGCGTTAATGCGTTTAAAAAATAATAACGAGTTAATAAAAAATTATAATTAATATTATAATTAGTAATTAGTATAATATAGTAATTAACGTGAGTTAACGCGATAATTTTGACAGCCCTAATAAATACATACACATACAAATACACATATACATACACATTGACGAGGTGCTAAATCTGGATCTGGAATCACTAGAAATTACAAGAATAACACAAGAGCAGGAAAATAAAAGGGACGTATCCTGAAAAATATGTCTGGTCTCTCTCTGGACTCTCTCTGATCCCTCTCTAGTCTCTCTCTGGTCTCTCTCTGGACTCTCTCTGGTCTCTCTCTGGACTCTCTCTGGACTCTCTCTGGACTCTCTCTGGACTCTCTCTGATCCCTCTCTAGTCTCTCTCTGGTCTCTCTCTAGTCTCTCTCTAGTCTCTCTCTGGCCTCTCTCTGGACTCTCTCTGGACTCTCTCTGGACTCTCTCTGGACTCTCTCTGATCCCTCTCTAGTCTCTCTCTGGTCTCTCTCTGGTCGCTCCCTGGTCTCTCTCTCCGGCCTCTCTCCGGCCTCTCTCCGGCCTCTCTCTGGCCTCTCTCCGGACTCTCTCAGGACCCTCTCTGGTCTCTCCCTGGACTCTCTCCAGTCTCTCCAGTCACTCTGGTGCGGGATACTTACATCGTGACTTTTGGAGACTTATTTGGAAAGTGGGAAGGAATTATATTTTGACACTTCCTTTTGGTGAAAAGCCGACATGGGTTCAAACAACACACCAACCTTTTCCACTGTTGTCTCAGGGCGTCGCAGCACGGAGCTGTTTTTTTCATGAATTCTTTGGCCAAATAAAAATTAGAATGCACCATGTGAGATATTAACGGCTTATTAACCGAGCAAGCGAGGTTAATAAATGTTTTATTATTTGACTATTTTTAATGTATGCAAATATTGATCTCCGACTTGGTTTTCCTAATCGTGTTTTTAGCTTTCTGGTCTGCAACAAAGTTGTCAATCTCATCTTGTCTGTTAGTTACTTTTTCTTTGTTATTTTCTGTAATGTCTTCCTCTGACTCGTCAAACTCGTCCGATAATAGAATTCACTGGAGAATGCTCCCAGCTGTCGCCCATTATTTCTTTATTTACCGAGGAAACTCAGGAAAGAAATCAAGTGTGATACACGCTGCGGACTGATTGTCATGGTAACGGTCTGAGGAAAGATATCAAATGTGATACACGCTGTTCGGACCAATTGTCATGGTAACGGTCTGAGATGGGAAAATATCAGACCGGTAATCAGCCAATCAGAGCGCGCGTACGGTCCAAGTCATATTATAAGACATTATACATTTTGTGATGCGTTATTTCTCATTCTAAAACAAGACCGGACAATTTAAATAATATCAAGATCGCGTTAAAGTTTTGTTTGATAAATTGCATATTTAGTTTTGAAAAGGTACACAAAGTGATGAAGCAATGAAAAATAAGTCAAACATTTTTCAAAATTAATCTAAATTTGCCCATTCTGACTGCTTCAAAACAAGATTTGACAACGGGACAAAGCAAAATGATCTTGTTCTTTAAAGATACTAGAAATGTCTCCTTTATAATGAGATAAAGTTCTTGAAATCAGACTTAATGGCTTTTTTCCATTGGCCAATCCTGTTTTAAGTACTCAAATCAAGATAAATGCATCAATCAAGTTTTTTTTAAATCACCTTCGTATTACCAGGTCCTGTCTCTAAATCCTGGTCATTCCTTGTGTTGCGTTGGCAGGCTGCTCTGGAGGCCCTGGATGACTTGAACTTGTTCGGAGCCAAAGGAGGTCCAGGGTCTGTGGTCCACGCTCTGGCTGACGACATTCAACACTGTCAGGTATAAACTCTGTCTGTGTATAAACTCTACTGTGTATAAACTCTGTGTATAAACTCTGTATAAACTCAGATGATGAATATTATAGGCATTTTAAGTGGGAGAACTGACACAACTGGTGGCGACTAAATACTTCTTTACCCCTCTATCCGTTAGAGAGAGGAATAACATCTTAACTAACCCTGTGATCAAATGCAGACAAATGTTGAGATTTTGATCTTCCATAATCGTCCTTTATCATCGTCACCACCAAAATCCTGTCGACAGGTTGTTCCCAGACTGCCTCGTCTTCTTCATTGAGTAATATACAATCCACTGATTTGATCTTTTCTGCCCATTTGTGCAAAGAAGAAGCTGCAGCACTGGTCACATCCAATTAAGATTAAGATTAAAATTAGTACGTGCGGCTGCGCAGCTGTGAGTCTGAGGTGGTAGTCTGCAGCACTGGGGCCCCTCAGGGCACTGTCCTCTCACCGTTTCTCTTCACCATCTACACTTCAGAATTCACACACGACACACACAGCTGTCACCTGCAGAAGTTCTCCCACGACTCCGCCATCGTGGGCTGTGTGTCTGACTGCTAATTTACACATCATGCGTTACAGCACGTACGCGTTATACGCGCAGCAGACGCGCGTAACTTTTTTCCATGTTAACCTATGATGATATTTACACTTCTAGCGTTATACGCGCGTATGACGGACATGTGACGCGAAGCTGCGCTCTAATTTAGGATGGATTTCTAATTTTGTGCGCGCACCAACGCGTCTCCCATTGAAATCTCATGTAAAACTTTATTTTTCTAGCGGTCCTTGGCTTTAGATCACATCTGCACGCACACTGCACTTGTGTCTAAACATCAGCAGGAGGAGCAGCAGGTTTTACAGTGATTCTGGACATCGTTTTTTTTCTTTCATAAAGTCTCGCGTCTGGCCAAACCAGCGCACAGAGACCATGAAGACAAACACATGCATGTGATTTGTGTTGCTCTACATCAGTCCTCTGGCTCGTACTGTCCTCTACACTGCTCCATAGACTACACAGGGAGAGCATCAGAAGCCGCGGACCTGCGCGCACGGTCAGTGTAGATACTCCAAAAAAATGTTACGCGCTGTTTACGCCTACTGTGTAAATCCCCCGTGAGGGGAACGATCTGGAATATCGGTCGGTTATCAAGGACTTTGTCGACTGGTGTGAGCGCAACCACTTGTGCTTGAACACCAGTAAGACCAAGGAGATGATCATCGACTTCAGGAGAAAACCACTTTCCCACACGCTGCTGAACATCCAGGGGGAGGACATTGAGCTGGTGGACAGCTTCAAGTACCTGGGTGTTCACATTAACAATAAACTGGACTGGTCCCGTAATACAAACGCCCTGCACAAGAAGGGCCAAAGTCGCCTCTTCCTTCTGAGGAGACTGAGGTCCTTCTGAGGAGGCTGAGGTCCTTCGGAGTGAGCAGGCCTCTGCTCGGGACTTTTTATGACTCTGTGGTGGCGTCTGCCATATACTACGCTGCCGTGTGCTGGGCCCCGGGCAGCACAGAGCGGGACAGAAACAGACTGAACAAGCTGGTCAGGAGGGCCAGCTCCACTCTGGGCTGCTCCCTGGACTCTGTGGAGGAGGTGAGGGACAGGAGGGTGCTAGCCAAAGCCACCTCCATCCCACCCACTGCACAGGACTGTAGAGGAGCTGAGGAGCTCCTTCAGTGGAAGACTGAGACACCCTCAGTGTAGGAAGGAGCGCTACCGCAGGGCCTTTATCCCCACTGCTGTCAGACTGTACAATAAGTCACTTTAAATGATCACTGTGTGAAAACCTGCACTACTATTGACACTGTTTCCAATTGACACACGCAATTATTGTCACTTTTATTGTACATATATCCTGCATGTAACATGTTTGCACATTTCCTCCTTTTCCACAATCTGAGTGTCTCTATCCATGCTAAATGTGACATGTAAATTTCTCCTATGTGAGATAAATAAAGCACATCTTATCTTAAGAGATTCTTTAATCGTCCCACAGCGGGGAAATGTCAGTGTTGCATCACAAGTTATAGAACAGTAGGAAAGAGGAGCACACAGCACAAGATAAGTGAAAAATAGCTATAGTAATTAAAATAAAACAAAATCTCTAACTCTAGCGTCAAAGAACAAGTATAAAATCTCTATCTTGAACATAATAATAGAAAGTATAAAAACTTTCCCCAAAGGCTGGAACCGTCTCAATCCGAGCGTCACAAACTGTTGGAATCTCGATCAGATACAAATGTGAAATGGCGTTTGTTGAATTTGGAGCTCTCTCTCTCTCTCTCCCGATGTCTTTGTCTCAAACATGTGACATTCTCTTCTTTGTTTTCTCACACGTTTGTTTTCAGTCCATCCTGACGTCGCTTTTACCGCGGGCGTCCATCTCTAAAGAAGTGGACGCTGGAGTTCTGGCCATAATCTCGTATCCAGCGTTCGCCGTGGAGGATATGAACATCGTCAACTTGACCAAGGAGGAAATCATCTCCAAACTGCAGGTCTGCGCCACATTTAAGCAGACGCTCAAACACTGCTGTGTCGTGACGCAACGATGAAGTCGATCAGAGAAAAAGGAACGAGACAAGGCTTCCCCACTTCCCCCTTGTCTTTGTTTTGACCGTGGACTGTTTCACGTTTGTCTCTTTTAATTATTCATTCATTTCGTTTAATTTCTAATTTGGAAATTACAGGGCAGAGAAGATTACAGTAGTTTTGCAGTAGTTTTCAAAATTTGTTTTATTTAGACGCATGATTTACCTCAAATTGTACTTTTTTGTGTCTTTTTTTCTGTCTCTTTACTTAAGAATATTTAATGTGTGAAAAATGTATGATTAAGTAAATTTAAATGATGTGTTAAGATCAGATCTGGTTTATAGTCTGGAATTTAGAATATTTTACCAGGTTTTTTGCTAGCTGTTTTGTGTGCATAATCACCAATAAAAAAATAATGATTTCAAATTTCTGTGACTTTAGGGACGTTATGGCTGCTGCCGCTTTCTCCGAGACGGACACAAAACTCCAAAAGAGGTAAAGTGGTCTTTTAGTCAGTTATAGTCAGAATCCACCTTCTACTTGTTTTACATTGTTCCATGGGAGGACCGCAAACATGTTTTAAAGTAGCAATATGTAAGATTTTCATGTCAAACCATCATTGAAGGGCCCGAATCTGTCAAAGGCATTATGAAAACTTGTCTTTTCCAATACTTCTTTAACTGATAACAGTAGTTCAGCCAAGATTAGTTTTACAGCCCCTAAATCGATGTCCCGCCCTCCACGAGATCCGGGTTGCCAGAACTTACCGCGTCGAGCTAATCTCACTGGTAACATGTGGCCGCAGAACTAAAAACGCTTTCCTTATGATTCTCAAATTATCACAAAACAAAGACTAAAGGAGTATTTCTATGGAAGATGCCTTTGAAAAATGGGGACAATTGAAGCCGGATAAAAACTTTTCACGTTGACGTTTCTCATTGACGGTTGAAAAAAAGATGGCCTAGCGCAGTGTTTTTCAACCAGTGTGCCATGCTACATTAGTGTGCCTTGAGACGTTGTTTGGTGTGCCATACGATATAATACAAGTACATTCTATTCTTGTATCGCCCTAAATCACAACAGCATCATCTCAGAGGATTTAACAAAACCATTGAAATCACCAACACAGATCAGAGAATCAACAGTTAAAACACAAAATACACACAAATGTATTGGTCCATAGGGAGGAACCAATGTCCATGAATGTTGATAATTGTCATACATGTAGAATATATCACATAATTGGTCAAAATATTGTTAAAAGAAAATAATGAGAGACTAATTAGAAAGGCTTTTTTTTCTCGCTCATTTCATTTCCTATATGAATCTACTTTGATTAGAATGACTTTGCTTTCGTACTAAAGGCTGCAAAGTTTCATGTTTCTATCAGTTTCAGCTGGTGGTGTGCAATGTGAGTGTTTTCAACCATAAAGGTGTGCCACGACCACAAAAAGGTTGGGAAACACTGGTCTAGTGGTTATGTCACAGCGTTTTCCCCGCAGTGACCCGGGTTCAATTTGGATTTGTCAAAGTTTTTGGGGTGAAACAATATATACTATGTTCTTAATATTTGTTCTATGCTCAAGAACGGTAAAGGGTAAAAACAAACTGTATTGCGCAGATTAAAGCTAAGAGCCTAACCTTTCATTTGGCCCTTGGTGTTTATATAGTCAAATTACTGAATATTCGGTGGCTCTTACAAGTTAGGTCAAATCCCCTGAAAACACTGGCAGAATGCACCTCCCTGGTCTGAAAAAGGTCTGGTCGTCAATGAGTCAATAATAATAACAATTTCAGCTTTAAACATAAATGGTAGATCATTTATTTTTTGTAGAATTAAAAAAACATTTGATGAGACAAGATTCATCCCAATTGAAATAATGTTTGTATATTTTTTTGTGGGACTTGTATACATGTATGTCTAAAAAATAGGGATTAAAAAACATGTGCTCCCCTCTGGTAATAAATGTATCTTGGTCCCAGCTGGATTCGGTAATCTCAGTTCAAATACAGCTGCTCTGTGAAGTCTCAGAGATCTGTTTAGAGAAAGTTGGGGAGAAGAGAGAGCAGCATGAAGTCCAAGGAACACATCAGACAGGTGTAACGTATACAGTCGGGTTAGTCTATACAAACATTTCCAAATCTTTGAACGTCTCACAGAGCACTGGGAAAGGAACGTGCACAGAGGAAGTGTTGATGAAGTTTTGAGAAGCAAAGCAGACGACACATTCAACATTAGGAAGAAGGTGCTGTGGTCGGATAAGGCCAAAATGGAAGTATTTGGAATGGTAATAATAATGACAATACATCAAACTTATCAAGCACTTTTATAGACACTCAAAGACTCTTTACAATCCCAGACCGATTGTGCATGTTTTTAGTGGTAGGGGAAACCGGAGCACCCGGAGGAAACCTACGCAGACATGGGGAGAACATGCTAACTTCACTCAGAAAGACCCTGTTCCAACTGGGATTCAAACCCGGACCTTCTTGCTGAGAAGCGAAAGTGCTATCCACTCGGCCACAGTCCCGCCCACTTTATAATACATATAAAATAAACATTGAAGGACAAAATTAAGGAAAGGCAAGGGGAAACAGATGGGTTATGGGAAGTGATTTAAGGTTCTGTAGTGAGTGGGAGTTTCTGATGGGCTGTGGGAGTGGATTCTCGAGTGAAGATGATGGAGGAGGTCAGTGAGGTCCATAAAACAACATTTATGGACATCAGTCATTTGCCCCTTATGGACCAATACCAGTGTTTTTTCTATCGCTGCATTTGCTACGATACAATTCTACGATACAATTCTCTTTGCGAATTCAACGGTAATGTCCTCCGAAATAACTACTGTTGTGATTTAGGGCGATAAGTATAAATTTAATTGTGGTATGAAAGGGCCACGTGAGGGAGGATCTTGTATTGGATGCGGTATGGAACAGGGAGCCGGTGGAGTTGTTCGAGGACGGGGGTGATGTGGTCTCTGGAGCGGGTGAGGAGGCGGGCGGCAGAGTTCTGGATGTATTGCAGTTTTTGGAGATGTGTGGAAGGGAGACCGTAGAGGAGGTTGTTGCTGAAGTCGAGTCCAGCGGGAATTTCAGCAGTGGATTCTGAGAGGGAGGGGATTTTGCGGGGGTGGAAACACAATATTTTGGAGAAGAGGTTAATGTGGGGTTTCAATGAGAGGGTGTAGTCCATAATAATGTCGAGGTTGTGCACAGAGTCTCATCGTAAAGAACTGGAAGGAAACACATGTCGCCCTGAATACATCGTTCCCAGTGTCAGATACAGGGGTGGTAGCATCATGCTGTGGGGGTGCTTCTCTTCAGCAGGGACAGGGAAGAGTGTCAGAGTTGATGGTAAGATGGATGGAGACAAATACTGAACAATCTTGGATCAAAACTTGTTGGAGTCTGTAAAAGTTTTGAAACTGGGGAGGTTCAACTTCCATTATGACTATATGACTGCAAGCATAAAGTCAGTGCAACAGATGAATGGCTGAAAACAAAACTACTTGGGCCAAAGTCAAAGTTCAGACCTACAATCCAACTGAGAATCTTTGGAAAATCTGAATACTGCAGTTAACCAGTACTCACCATCTAATCTAACTGAGCTTGGGCTGTTTAGTAAAGAAGAATGGGCCAAGTTTCAAGATATGTAGGGCTCCAAAAGGTGGTTCCACAAAGTATTGACTCAGTGGTAGATACTTTTGCAGACCCCACTTTTCTTCTGTGTCATTAGAAAGTTCAAAATAATTCAATTTTCACCTGATTGTGCGACCATAGCGTGTCTTTCTCTTTCATTTAATTACATTTATTTTTGTGTTGGTGGTGGGTGTGATTATGCAAACCTCTGTAAATATGAACTTTAAAGTGACAATTACAAAGATAGAATGATGTACACTGTAAAACCTCTTTCCTCCAGGACCCGACTCGTCTGTATTATGAATCTGCTGAACTGAAGTTATTTGAAAACATTGAGTGCGAGTGGCCGCTGTTTTGGACCTACCTCATTTTGGACGGAATCTTCATCAAGAGCCCAGAGCAGGTATGACTTAAGCAGCAGGGTTAGGGTTAGGCAGCTGCAGCAGAAGACCCCTGTAGTCCTTTGAATTAATGACTGCGGTGTATGCAGGCCACAGAAGTTTTCTATTGACTTTAGATAAAGGTACAGTGCCTTGCGAAGGTATTCGGCCCCCTTGAACCTTTCAACATTTCGCCACATTTCAGGCTTCAGACATAAAGATATAAAATTTTATTTTTTTGTCATGAATCAACAAGTGGGACACAATCATGAAGTGGAACAAAATTTATTGGATAATTTAAACTTTTTTAACAAATAAAAAACTGAAAAGTGGGGCGTGCAATATTATTCGGCCCCTTTACTTTCAGTGCAGCAAACTCACTCCAGAAGTTCAGTGAGGATCTTTGAATGATCATCATCAGTCTAAATGACTGATGATGATAAATAGAATGCTCCTGTGTGTAATCAAGTCTTCGTATAAATGCACCTGCTCTTTGATAGTCTCAGGGTTCTGTTTAAAGCGCAGAGAGAACCATGAAGACAAAGGAACACACCAGGCAGGTCCGAGATACTGTTGTGGAGAAGTTTAAAGCCGGATTTGGATACAAAAAGATTTCCCAAGCTTCAAACATCTCAAGGAGCACTGTGCAAGCAATTATATTGAAATGGAAGGAGTATCAGACCACTGCAAATCTACCAAGACCCGGCCGTCCCTCCAAACTTTCATCTCAAACAAGGAGAAGACTGATCAGAGATGCAACCAAGAGGCCCATGATCACTCTGAATGAACTGCAGATAACTACAGCTGAGGTGGGAGAGTCTGTCCATAGGACAACAATCAGTCGTGCACTGCACAAATCTGGCCTTTATGGAAGAGTGGCAAGAAGAAAGCCTTTTCTCAAAGATATCCATAAAAGTCTTTTAAAGTTTGCCACAAGCCACCTGGGAGACACACCAAACATGTGGAAGAAGGTGCTCTGGTCAGATGAAACCAAAATCGAACTTTTTGGCCACAATGCAAAACGATATGTTTGGCGTAAAAGCAACACAGCTCATCACCCTGAACACACCATTCCCACCTCAGCTGTAGTTATCTACAGTTCATCCAGAGTGATCATGGGCCTCTTGGCTGCATCTCTGATCAGTCTTCTCCTTGTTTGAGATGAAAGTTTGGAGGGACAGCCGGGTCTTGGTAGATTTGCAGTGGTCTGATAATCCTTCCATTTCAATATAATTGCTTGCACTGTGCTCCTTGAGATGTTTAAAGCTTGGGAAATCTTTTTGTATCCAAATCCGACTTTAAACTTCTCCACAACAGTGTCTCGGACCTGCCTGGTGTGTTCCTTTGTCTTCATGGTTCTCTCTGCGCTTTAAACAGAACCCTGAGACTATCAAAGAGCAGGTGCATTTATACGGAGACTTGATTACACACAGGAGCATTCTATTTATCATCATCAGTCATTTAGGACAACATTGGGTCATTCAAAGATCCTCACTGAACTTCTGGAGTGAGTTTGCTGCACTGAAAGTAAAGGGGCCGAATAATATTGCACGCCCCACTTTTCAGTTTTTTATTTGTTAAAAAAGTTTAAATTATCCAATAAATTTCGTTCCACTTCACGATTGTGTCCCACTTGTTGTTGATTCATGACAAAAAATTAAAATGTTATATCTTTATGTTTGAAGCCTGAAATGTGGCGAAATGTTGAAACGTTCAAGGGGGCCGAATACTTTCGCAAGGCACTGTAACTGTCATGTTGTACTAGCGGTTATATAATGTTGTTGTTGTAGTTCACTCACGAACCGTGAGGAGCACACTGTAGAAATGGCACTTACATTTTCAGTGCGGCGAAACAACAAGGCCACGAATGGTGAAGCGTGTTATAGTGAAAAACCACTGCAGCAGTCGCAGTAACGTCTACACTGTGCAGATAAAAGCTGAGCTGCTTCACTGTGTGTTTATTGTAACCCTGATCGTGTGTCTGCAGGTGCAGGAGTACCAGGAGGCCCTGGAGGGAATCCTGATCAAACAGAAGGACGGGATCAGACTGGTGCCAGAGCTGTACAGCGTTCCAGCAGACAAGGTCAGTCACTACAACTACTACTACTACTACTACTACTGCTACTACTACTACTACTACTACTACTGCTGCTACTACTACTGCTACTACTACTACTACTACTACTACTACTGCTACTACTACTACTACTACTACTGCTGCTACTACTACTGCTACTACTACTGCTACTACTACTACTGCTACTACTGCTACTGCTGCTACTACTACTACTACTATTACTACTACTACTACTATTACTGCTGCTGCTGCTGCTGCTACTGCTACTGCTACTACTACTACTACTACTGCTACTACTACTACTACTACTACTACTACTACTACTACTACTACTACTACTACTACTACTACTACTTTCACTACCACTTCTATTGCAATTGGGAATAATGAATTACAAAAGTATTAGTAATAGTACTGTCATGATGGCTGGATGTAATTTCACACTCACACCACCAGATGGGAGTGTTGCTCTGTTGAATTCCTTTATAGAGGTTTAAGATATTATTCCTTATTCTAAAACATGAACTATAAGATCCTGATTTAGGAACAGAACTCAGATAATATTTGTTTTTTATGTTATTTATTTATGTTGCAGTGCATAGTCGTGAGGGATTCTTTGAGCACATGCACAGTTCAGTAATAATTCCAAATATCTCAGATCTGTGACTTCTGGATGGACCAATAGGAAATGTTTAAACATTCATGCCCTGAATGATACTGACACTGATTTGCCAAACATGAGCAGGAGCAGACATTTAAAGGAACAGTGTGATGTAATAAGTACATGTGACAGAAGGGAGCACATTACCCCTGTTTTAGCCTCCACAGTCTCCACGTTGATTTTTGAATTTTACTTAACACTTTTAAAGCTCTTTTAGCTACATTTATGAACTTTTAACCCCCTCTTTAGCCTTAGATCCGTGCCGTTCCAAGGTTTAGGCTGCCCCCGCCCCTTCTGTCTAAATGCTATTTTGTAAACGTGTAGGTTATGTTGTGTTTCAGGTGGAGGAGGAGTACGAGAACCCTCACTCTGTCCAGAGGGCGTCTGTGGGAAAGTGTCCTCTGAAGTGGGGCCAGTCTCTCTACATCCTGGGGAATCTGCTGTCCGAGGTTTGCATGTCTCAGTATACATGCAGACCTCTCCTGTCTCAGTATACATGCAGACCACTCCTGTCTCAGTATACATTCAGACCACTCCTGTCTCAGTATACATGCAGACCTCTCCTGTCTCAGTATACATGCAGACCACTACTGTCTCAGTATACATGCAGACGACCTCTCCTGTCTCAGTATACATGCAGACGACCTCTCCTGTCTCAGTATACATGCAGACGACCTCTCCTGTCTCAGTATACATGCAGACCACTACTGTCTCAGTATACATGCAGACCTCTCCTGTCTCAGTATACATGCAGACCTCTCCTGTCTCAGTATACATGCAGACCTCTCCTGTCTCAGTATACATGCAGACCTCTCCTGTCTCAGTATACATGCAGACCACTACTGTCTCAGTATACATGCAGACCTCTCCTGTCTCAGTATACATGCAGACCTCTCCTGTCTCAGTATACATGCAGACCACTACTGTCTCAGTATACATGCAGACCTCTCCTGTCTCAGTATACATGCAGACCTCTCCTGTCTCAGTATACATGCAGACCACTACTGTCTCAGTATACATGCAGACCTCTCCTGTCTCAGTATACATGCAGACCTCTCCTGTCTCAGTATACATGCAGACCACTCCTGCCTCAGTATACATGCAGACCACTCCTGTCTCACCTCTCCTGTCTCAGTATACATGCAGACCTCTCCTGTCTCAGTATACATGCAGACCACTCCTGTCTCAGTATACATGCAGACCTCTCCTGTCTCAGTATACATGCAGACTACTCCTGTCTCAGTATACATGCAGACCTCTCCTGTCTCAGTATACATGCAGACCTCTCCTGTCTCAGTATACATGCAGACCACTACTGCCTCAGTATACATGCAGATCACTACTGTCTCAGTATACATGCAGATCACTACTGTCTCAGTATACATGCAGACCTCTCCTGTCTCAGTATACATGCAGACCTCTCCTGTCTCAGTATACATGCAGACCTCTCCTGTCTCAGTATACATGCAGACCTCTCCTGTCTCAGTATACATGCAGACTACTCCTGTCTCAGTATACATGCAGACCTCTCCTGTCTCAGTATACATGCAGACCTCTCCTGTCTCAGTATACATGCAGACCTCTCCTGTCTCAGTATACATGCAGACCTCTCCTGTCTCAGTATAAATGCAGACCTCTCCTGTCTCAGTATACATGCAGACCTCTCCTGTCTCAGTATACATGCAGACCTCTCCTGTCTCAGTATACATGCAGACCACTACTGTCTCAGTATACATGCAGACCTCTCCTGTCTCAGTATACATGCAGACCTCTCCTGTCTCAGTATACATGCAGACCTCTCCTGTCTCAGTATACATGCAGACCTCTCCTGTCTCAGTATACATGCAGACCACTACTGTCTCAGTATACATGCAGACCTCTCCTGTCTCAGTATACATGCAGACCTCTCCTGTCTCAGTATACATGCAGACCTCTCCTGTCTCAGTATACATGCAGACCACTCCTGCCTCAGTATACATGCAGACCACTCCTGTCTCACCTCTCCTGTCTCAGTATACATGCAGACCTCTCCTGTCTCAGTATACATGCAGACCACTCCTGTCTCAGTATACATGCAGACCTCTCCTGTCTCAGTATACATGCAGACTACTCCTGTCTCAGTATACATGCAGACCTCTCCTGTCTCAGTATACATGCAGACCTCTCCTGTCTCAGTATACATGCAGACCACTACTGCCTCAGTATACATGCAGATCACTACTGTCTCAGTATACATGCAGACCTCTCCTGTCTCAGTATACATGCAGATCACTACTGTCTCAGTATACATGCAGATCACTACTGTCTCAGTATACATGCAGACCTCTCCTGTCTCAGTATACATGCAGACCTCTCCTGTCTCAGTATACATGCAGACCTCTCCTGTCTCAGTATACATGCAGACCTCTCCTGTCTCAGTATACATGCAGACTACTCCTGTCTCAGTATACATGCAGACCTCTCCTGTCTCAGTATACATGCAGACCTCTCCTGTCTCAGTATACATGCAGACCTCTCCTGTCTCAGTATACATGCAGACCTCTCCTGTCTCAGTATACATGCAGACCTCTCCTGTCTCAGTATACATGCAGACCTCTCCTGTCTCAGTATACATGCAGACCTCTCCTGTCTCAGTATACATGCAGACCTCTCCTGTCTCAGTATACATGCAGACTACTCCTGTCTCAGTATACATGCAGACCACTACTGCCTCAGTATACATGCAGATCACTACTGTCTCAGTATACATGCAGACCTCTCCTGTCTCAGTATACATGCAGACCACTCCTGTCTCAGTATACATGCAGACTACTCCTGCCTCAGTATACATGCAGACCACTCCTGTCTCAGTATACATGCAGACACTCTGCTCTGATGGTTAAAAGTCTTTAAATCTGTTTTTCCTCAGGGTTTTCTGGCTCCAGGGGAAATCGACCCGTTAAACCGACGCTTCTCCACAGTTCCCAAACCGGACGTGGTCGTGCAAGGTCCGAAAGTTTACTTACACCATTTTTTTTTTTTTTACATTAATTTAGTTTCATATGGTGTCATTATTATTCATGCATTCATTATTCTGAATTCTGAAAATATCATTTTGTAATATTATATGTAAATGATAAATATTTTGGGTCCCTGTACTGAACCTTGGGGTGCCCCATGATGATCTGTGTGCAGCATCTACTGCGCTTTATGTTCTAGCATACATAAAAACTGTGTAGTGTCCATTTGATTTATTAATTTGCAGAAAGACAGTAACACAAGTAACATTAGAAAAACATTCCAAAAATACATACAATTCAACTTTCACTCCTTGTTGAGCAAATTCTTTCGAAAACAAAACATGATGAAGATTGTAGCCAGAGGGATACAACTTTTTGACACATTTTCAAAACGGCAATACCTGTTTTTACTCTTTATATAAACTGTGCTGTGTCCATATAAACTGTGCAGTGTCCATTCTGGCGGAGACGGAGGAGATCAAGGAGCTGCTGCTGAAACACGGTCTGGATGTGGAGACTGTGGCCGACATTCACCCAATCCACGTGCAGCCTTCCCGCGTCCTGTCCCACATCTACGCCCGCCTGGGTAACAGTTTATATGACTCAGTATACATGTCCCACATCTACGCCCGCCTGGGTAACAGTTTATATGACTCAGTATACATGTCCCACATCTACGCCCGCATGGGTAACAGTTTATATGACTCAGTATACATGTCTCACATCTACGCCCGCCTGGGTAACAGTTTATATGACTCAGTATACATGTCTCACATCTACGCCCGCCTGGGTAACAGTTTATATGACTCAGTATACATGTCCCACATCGACGCCCGCCTGGGTAACAGTTTATATGACTCAGTATACATGTCTCACATCTACGCCCGCCTGGGTAACAGTTTATATGACTCAGTATACATGTCCCACATCTACGCCCGCCTGGGTAACAGTTTATATGACTCAGTATACATGTCTCACATCTACGCCCGCCTGGGTAACAGTTTATATGACTCAGTATACATGTCCCACATCTACGCCCGCATGGGTAACAGTTTATATGACTCAGTATACATGTCTCACATCTACGCCCGCCTGGGTAACAGTTTATATGACTCAGTATACATGTCCCACATCTACGCCCGCCTGGGTAACAGTTTATATGACTCAGTATACATGTCCCACATCTACGCCCGCCTGGGTAACAGTTTATATGACTCAGTATACATGTCTCACATCTACGCCCGCCTGGGTAATAGTTTATATGACTCAGTATACATGTCCCACATCTACGCCCGCCTGGGTAACAGTTTATATGACTCAGTATACATGTCCCACATCTACGCCTGCCTGGGTAACAGTTTATATGACTCAGTATACATGTCCCACATCTACGCCCGCCTGGGTAACAGTTTATATGACTCAGTATACATGTCTCACATCTACGCCCGCCTGGGTAATAGTTTATATGACTCAGTATACATGTCCCACATCTACGCCCGCCTGGGTAACAGTTTATATGACTCAGTATACATGTCCCACATCTACGCCCGCCTGGGTAACAGTTTATATGACTCAGTATACATGTCCCACATCTACGCCCGCCTGGGTAACAGTTTATATGACTCAGTATACATGTCCCACATCTACGCCCGCCTGGGTAACAGTTTATATGACTCAGTATACATGTCCCACATCTACGCCCGCCTGGGTAACAGTTTATATGACTCAGTATACATGTCTCACATCTACGCCCGCCTGGGTAACAGTTTATATGACTCAGTATACATGTCTCACATCTACGCCCGCCTGGGTAACAGTTTATATGACTCAGTATACATGTCCCACATCTACGCCCGCCTGGGTAACAGTTTATATGACTCAGTATACATGTCCCACATCTACGCCCGCCTGGGTAACAGTTTATATGACTCAGTATACATGTCCCACATCTACGCCCGCCTGGGTAACAGTTTATATGACTCAGTATACATGTCCCACATCTACGCCCGCCTGGGTAACAGTTTATATGACTCAGTATACATGTCCCACATCTACGCCCGCCTGGGTAACAGTTTACGGTATATGACTCCGTATACATGTCCCACATCTACGCCCGCCTGGGTAACGGTTTATATGACTCAGTATACATGTCCCACATCTGCGCCCGCCTGGGTAACAGTTTATATGACTCAGTATACATGTCCCACATCTACGCCCTCCTTGGTAACAGTTTATATGACTCAGTATACATGTCCCACATCTACGCCCTCCTTGGTAACAGTTTATATGACTCAGTATACATGTCCCACATCTACACCCGCCTGGGTAACAGTTTATATGACTCAGTATACATGTCCCACATCTACGCCTGCCTGGGTAACAGTTTATATGACTCAGTATACATGTCCCACATCTACGCCCGCCTGGGTAACAGTTTATATGACTCAGTATACATGTCCCACATCTGCGCCCGCCTGGGTAACAGTTTATATGACTCAGTATACATGTCCCACATCTACGCCTGCCTGGGTAACAGTTTATATGACTCAGTATACATGTCCCACATCTACGCCTGCCTGGGTAACAGTTTATATGACTCAGTATACATGTCCCACATCTGCGCCCGCCTGGGTAACAGTTTATATGACTCAGTATACATGTCCCACATCTACGCCCGCCTGGGTAACAGTTTATATGACTCAGTATACATGTCCCACATCTACGCCCGCCTGGGTAACAGTTTATATGACTCAGTATACATGTCCCACATCTACGCCCGCCCGGGTAACAGTTTACGGTATATGACTCCGTATACATGTCTCACATCTACGCCCGCCTGGGTAACAGTTTATATGACTCAGTATACATGTCCCACATCTACGCCCGCCTGGGTAACAGTTTATATGACTCAGTATACATGTCCCACATCCACGCCCGCCTGGGTAACAGTTTATATGACTCAGTATACATGTCCCACATCTACGCCCGCCTGGGTAACAGTTTATATGACTCAGTATACATGTCCCACATCTACGCCCGCCTGGGTAACAGTTTATATGACTCAGTATACATGTCCCACATCTACGCCCGCCTGGGTAACAGTTTATATGACTCAGTATACATGTCCCACATCCACGCCCGCCTGGGTAACAGTTTATATGACTCAGTATACATGTCTCACATCTGGACTATGGATAAAAGTGTGTTTTTGGGACTGTGTGATTGTGTCCCAGGTCGAAACCCGCGCCTGGGTCTGACCGGACGGCCCTACAGGAGGATCGGGGTCCTGGGAACGTCCAAGTTTTACATAATCAGAAACACCATGTTCTCCTTCACGCCTCAAGTACGTTTGTGTTTCAGTCATTGAGTCCTGGAGTTCAAAGTCACACTCAATAGCGGCGCATTATTGTCTCTATATTCTGAGATAAGTCTGTGTAACGTTTTAATTGTGGACACCAGAGAGAGACCAGAGAGAGACCAGAGAGAGACCAGAGAGAGACCAGAGAGAGGCCAGAGAGAGGCCAGAGAGAGGCCAGAGAGAGGCCAGAGAGAGGCCAGAGAGAGGCCAGAGAGAGGCCAGAGAGAGGCCAGAGAGAGGCCAGAGAGAGGCCAGAGAGAGGCCAGAGAGAGGCCAGAGAGAGGCCAGAGAGAGGCCAGAGAGAGGCCAGAGAGAGGCCAGAGAGAGGCCAGAGAGAGGCCAGAGAGAGGCCAGAGAGAGGCCAGAGAGAGACCAGAGAGAGAGGCAGACCACATAGATAGAGAGGGAGAGACCTCTATAAACTTTTTTGGCACTTTTTTGGCACTTTTTTGGCAAATTGTACTTATTTTTTCTCTTTGCAAAGAACTTAAACAACTGTAGTCTTTGAGATGTGGTAACGGTGTGAGGCGCTGGTGATTCAGTTGTGTGTTGTGTGTTTGTGTGTGTGTCTCTGCAGTTCATAGACCATCAGCAGTTCTACATCGCGCTGGATAACCAGATGATCGTGGAAATGCTCCGGACTGAGATCGCATACTTGGCCTCGCGCTGGAGGATGACTGGGCGTCCCACCGTCACCTTCCCCATCTCCCAGACCATGCTGAGTAAGACACCAGCCTCACTCAGAAAAAAGTTTTTATTAGACACTTTTAAAGTATGGAAAATAATGAAAATGTTGTTGTTTTCCCAGATTATCATTTGATAGTAGCTAGATTCCCAAAGCCATTATATTAATCTTTTTGTCATCATGCAGATGGTTTTGAACATTGTCACCACTTCTAGACACTTTTTCATGAGGAAATAATGAGACCATATACAGTGTAGGTTCTGACAAAGAAGAAGGAGACTAGAATCTGACTTGTGGCACTTCCATAGTTACCAGGAAAGATTTCATATTTGTCACTATCCGATTGTGTTTCGTCTTTTGCTTTGGTGAGAACGGTTCAAGGCGATGGAAACACCTTTTTTTGTCCATCTTTACAAAATGGAAAAGGACATTCTTGTAATTTTGTATGCCTCTATTGAACAGATGTGTTTTAAAAATGATGTGGAAAACTTACTTGGTCACAAAACTATGTATCATAAACAACTCTGTGTGTGTTGCGTATGTTTGTGTGTGTGTGTGGTGTGTGTTGCGTATGTTTGTGTGTGTGTGTGTGTGTGTGCTTGCAGCGGAGGACCACGCCGATTTGGACCCTGCAGTTTTGGCCACGCTGAAGAAGCTGCAGGACGGATACTATGGAGGAGCCAGGTCTCTATACTCTTCATCCATGTTTAATAAAATACTTCTCTGGTCCTGAACCTTGGCCTCTCTCTGGTCTAACTCGTGACCTCTCCGTTTCCTGAACCTTGGCCTTTCTCTGGTCCAGAACCTTGGCCTCTCTCTGGTCCAGACCCATGGGCTCTCTCTGGTCCAGAACCTTGGCCTCTCTCTGGTCCAGACCCATGGCCTCTCTCTGGTCCAGACCCATGGCCTCTCTCTGGTCCAGACCAATGGCCTCTCTCTGGTCCAGACCCGTAAATTCTCTCTGGTCCTGAACCTTGGCCTCTCTCTGGTCCTGAATCTTGGCCTCTCGCTGGTCCAGACCCGTTGCCTCCCTCTGGTCTAACTCGTGACCTCTCAGTTTCCTGAACCTTGGCCTTTCTCTGGTCCAGAACCTTGGCCTCTCTCTGGTCCAGACCCATGGCCTCTCTCTGGTCCAGACCATGACCTCTCTCTGGTCCAGACCCGTGGCCTATCTCTGGTCCAGACCCGTAAATTCTCTCTGGTCCTGAACCTTGGCCTCTCTCTGGTCCTGAACCTTGGCCTCTCTCTGGTCCAGACCCGTGACCTCTCTCTGGTCTTGAACCTTGGCCCCCCTCTGGTCCAGAACGTTGGCCTCTCTGGTCCAGACCCATGTCCTCTCTCTGGTCCGGTCCGAGCGTCTGTATGTGTTTTACCCATGTCCCCTGGTTGCAGGATCCAGACTGGCCGGTTGTCCGAGCTCATGACCACCTCGTGTTTCGCTCACCTGAGTTTCCTGGACGGTAAGGCTCCCAGCAGCATGACCCGTCCCGACGACCAGGACGGGGAGGAGGAGGGCTACGTGCATGAGTTACACTGTGATGATGGTAAGAGACCGAGCGGCTGCGTTTGGAGGAAAGTCCCAGCAGCAGAACCGAACCTGGAGTCTGTGATCACGTTGAAATGAATAGAATTGTACAGCCTCTAAAGGGAAACGTGCAACTAAAGTCAGAATAACAACATAACAAATATATTTTATGACGACAACAATTTGAGGAGAATTTGTTTTTCATAATTTCGACATTTTTAATCTTCTTTTCACGTTGCAATCAAAGCTGCTGTGACTCTTCCTCCCAAACTCTTCCTCCCAAACTTGGCCCCAACGACTGCAAAATGTCTTATTCTGAACAAAAGCTTCTCTAATGAAAAATCGCTTATTAAATCCAAACCTCCAGCTCAGTCATTATTGCAGATAAAATATGTTTAAGGCCGTTTTGCAGTCCTCACCTTCAGACGAACGGCTCTAATGTTTATGAAAACTTTCATAAACCCTTTGTGTGCTGCATCAAGGACAGTGGAACAGAAGGAGATTTTACTATTTGTTTGAATATACTTTTTAGATATTATTATATAAAGCATTTTAAACGGTTTTCTTTTTTAATTCTATGTTTTTATAAATACCTGGCTGAAAATCTCATATAATCTTTCGTCCGTAACCTTTTGTTTGCTGCATCAGTGCTGTTTCCTTAAACATTGGTCTATGGTCCTCTTTGCTCTCATCTGCTCCATGGTCCTCTCTGCTCTATGGTCCTCTATGTCCAATGGTCCTCTCTGCTCCATGGTCCTCTCTGTCTATGGTCCTCTACTGTATGTCCTATGGCCCTCTCTACTCCATGGTCCTCTCTGCTCCATGGTCCTCTCTGCTCCATGGTCCTCTCTGCTCTATAGTCCTCTCTGCTCCATGGTCCTCTCTGCTCTATGGTCCTCTCTGGTCCATGGTCCTCTCTGGTCCATGGTCCTCTCTGCTCCATGGCCCTCTCTACTCCATGGTCCTCTCTGCTCCATGGTCCTCTCTGCTCCATGGTCCTCTCTGCTCCATGGTCCTCTCTGCTCCATGGTCCTCTCTGCTCTATGGTCCTCTCTGCTCCATGGTCCTCTCTGCTCTATGGTCCTCTCTGCTCCATGGTCCTCTCTGCTCCATGGTCCTCTCTGCTCTATGGTCCTCTCTGCTCCATGGTCCTCTCTGCTCTGTGGTCCTCTCTGGTCCATGGTCCTCTCTGCTCCATGGCCCTGTCTGGTCCATGGTCCTCTCTGCTCCATGGTCCTCTCTGCTCCATGGCCCTCTCTGGTCTATAATCCTCTCTGCTCTATGGTCCTCTCTGCTCCATGGTCCTCTCTGCTCCATGGCCCTGTCTGGTCCATGGTCCTCTCTGCTCCATGGCCCTCTCTGCTCCATGGTCCTCCATGGTCCTCTGCTTCATGGTCCTCTCTGCCCCATGGTTCTACCCTCCGTGTTCTTGTGCCCAGAGGCAGATGACTTGGCCCAGTACCTGGACCACCTGTTGGCCCACTCCTCTCCTGAGGCAGCCCAGTCCCGGGGCCCCGCGGCTGGAGGCCTGAGCCGCTTCAAGGCTGCAGCCGCCAAAACCAAACAGATGGTGGCGCTCAAGAACAAAGCACAAGGCCTGGACGTGCACAGTGAGTCCTGTCGTCTGTCATTATTCATTCACTCCATACACGGTGGTATTGTAGCCACAGCTGCCCTGGGGCACACTGACAGAAGCCCCTCCCCAAATCAGTCATCTCTTGTGTTGCCAGTTCTTTTCTTTGTGTACCTTGGATTGTCAGCAAAATGTGAGACCATGTGAGATGTGTTATGACATTCTAAAATATATATGAGATAATGTGACAATCATTTTAATAATATTGTGTTTTTTGATATCAATGGTTTTGCACAATAGGGTCAGAACAAGAGAGACCAGAGAGAGAGACCAGAGAGAGACCAGAGAGAGAGACCAGAGAGAGAGAGACCAGAGAGAGAGACCAGAGAGAGAGACCAGAGAGAGAGACCAGAGAGAGAGACCAGAGAGAGAGACCAGAGAGAGAGACCAGAGAGAGAGACCAGAGAGAGAGACCAGAGAGAGAGACCAGAGAGAGGCCAGAGAGAGATAAATATATATATTGAACAGTTAAATACTGCACCTAAATACATCTCAAAGTGCTGAACCATTCTAATTGTTGTGTTTTTCTCCTCAGACGTGAACATGTACCTTTCAAACAAACTGTTCCGAACGCGGCATCTGTCCCTCAACCTCGACATACCAGAATCCTCTGCTGCTGACGCTCAGGTCTGTCTCTCACAAAACACAGTAATTTAAAGAAAAGGGGGCCTTTAAAATAGGGTTAGAGGCCATTGCTTAACAAAAATAACCTATACAAATTATTCAATCGCTGGTTCGAAGCCGGTTTGTTTATATTTCATGCACCGTGGGTTTTTATGTGAAAGAAAAAATCTTGCTGTGCCTTGCCTAAAGACTTTTGTGAAATAATCGCATCTGTTAAAGCTGCAGTACGTAACTTTTGAAACCACAACAATCTGTAATACCGTACTGTACGAGTTACTGTACTTTCTGGACTATAAGGCGCACCTGGACTTAAAGTAGTACTAGAATTTAATATGCTGCTATCCAGAATATATAACTACAATATGTGTTTATAATATTTCGGGTGTTCATTTTGACATGTTTAGATGAATTATGTTTAAAAAACGGCTTTCAAGTGGCACCTTTATAAAAACGCTAGGGGGCGCCAAAATGGCGGCGATGACGTAGGAGGAGGGCATCTCACAGCAGACAGCAGCCTGGTTGGAAACTGTAGGAGGTTTCACTGTCATCTGAACAAGGTATAAACATATTCATCCGTTTTGTACATAATAGTGTGCAACTCTTTTAATCTTTTAGCCTTATTTGTGAGATTCAAGCTAATTAGTGTTGGGCAAGTTAGCTAACTCTACTTAATATCATAAAACATGCTAACAAGGCTAATATTCGTTTTTACATCATGCCAGTCTCACTGTGGTTGCCTTGAATTTATTTACCACAATGTACATTGTAATATTCAAAAATGCTAATCAAAATAACTTTAATTAAATAAATATTTTACTTTTATGAACAAAAAGCTGCAGAAGTTGAAAACATAGACTACATGTGATGCAATCATTGATAAAAATGCTAATTAAACCGTTAATAGGTGTTAGCATTTATGGATATTACAATGTACATTGTGGTAAATAAATCTAAGGCAACCAAAGTGAGACTGGCATAATGTAAAAACGAATATTAGCCTTGTTAGCATGTTTTATGATATCAAGTAGAGTTAGCTAACTTGCCCAACACTAATTAGCTTGAATCTCACAAATAAGGCTAAAAGGTTAAAAGAGTTGCACACTATTATGTACAAAACGGATGAAAATATGTTTATACCTTGTTCAGATGACAGTGAAACCTCCTACAGTTTCCAACCAGGCTGCTGTCCGCTGCTGTGAGATGCCCTCCTCCTACGTCATCGCCGCCATTTTGGCCCCCCCTAGCGTTTCTATGCGGAAGTGAAAAAGTGCCACTTGAAAGCCGTTTTTTTAACATAATTCATCTGAACATGTCAAAATGAACACCCGAAATATTATAAACACATATTGTAGTTATATATTCTGGATAGCAGCATATTAAATTCTAGTACTACTTTAAGCCACACCACCTACATTTGAAAAGAAAATCCATTTTGTCCACATATAGGCTGCACTTGAATATAAGCTGGAGGTTTTCATGTTTAATGTCGCAGAGACGACTGTTTTAACGGGACACAACAGGGTTTAATGACGAGATTCAGCTTTCGTTTCCATGACTACTTCACCATCATCTGTTTGGACGATAAGCGTTTGTCTGATTGCCTCTAAAACTTGGAGTCAAACCATGAGTCAAACTAACTCAAACAACCTCTGCTCTGACAACTTTACCAGAAAGAGAGAGAGACTGGAGAGAGAGTGACCAGAGAGAGAGAGGAGAGAAAGAGAGCGAAGAGAGACTGTAGAGAGAGAGACCAGAGAGGGAGAGAGACCACAGAGAGAGAGAGATATAGACTGGAGAGGGAGACAGAGAGGGAGACCAGAGAGAGAGCGACCGGAGGGAGAGAGAACACAGAGAAAGAGAGACCATAGAGAGAGACCAGAGAGACAGACCGAGAGAACGAGAGAGACCGGAGAGCGGACAGAGAGAGTTAAGAGAGAGACCGGAGAGTGGAGAGAGAGATGTTAGAGCAGAGAGAGAGCGAGAGAGCAAAGAGAGAGACCACAGAGAGAGGGAGAGACTGTAGAGAGAGAGCAGAGAGAGAGAGACCAGAGACAGAGACCGGGAAGAGAGATAGGAGAGAGAGAGACCACAGAGAGAGAGACCACAAAGAGAGAGAGACCGTAGAGAGAGACCAGAGAGACAGACAGACAGAGAGAGAGAGACCGGAGGGAGATAGACCACAGAGGGAGAGTGACCGTAGAGAGAGCGGAGACAGAGAGAGAGACCGGAGTGAGAGAGACCACAGAGAGAGAGAGACTGTAGAGAGAGCCCAGAGAGAGAGAGAGAGACTTCCACACACATATTAGCCACATCGCCATACAAGCCGCAGGGATCAAACAACAGGAAAAAGTAGCGACATTAGTTACTTCTCTGCTCTCCTCATCATCATAGACCCGCGGCTGTGTTTAGCTCCCCTCCACACTGACACCCCTCCCCCAGCCCTCCCCTCCTTGGTGTGTGACCCCGCCCTCTGCCGCAGGTGCCCACTGTGGTGGTCTCTGCCGACAGTGGGATTCCCAGAGACTCGTCCGGTGCCATCGATTACAGAGCTCTGGTGTCTCTGCTCAAAGACACCCCCAGTCTGCAGGACCAGGCCGACATCCTCTACATCCTCTTCAAAGACAAGTGAGTCCGTCCTCCAACCCCAGCGCTCTCTGTCTCACACCGGTCCAAATCTTAGGTTGGTCAGGGGCCGAATAAAGAAAAATGGAACCGGTCAGGAGTTTAAAAAATTGATGGCTTTTTAAAAATGTAATATTAAGGCATTTTGACATGATTAAAAGGAGCAGTATGTAAAAATCAAACCAAAAGTGGTACTGCAGCCTCTCCCACTCTCCCTGACTCAGGTTGCCAGATATGCAGACGAATCCAGCTGGGACCATAACAGCTGAATAGATAAGAGTTTTGTCAACAACAAATCTATAACCAACACCTTTTTCACCTTTTTAAAATAAAATATTAATAATTGTTAATCGTACTAGGGGCCACTTAAAATGGTCTTGTGGGCTGGATTGTTCCCACGAGCCTGAGTTTGACATGCCTAGGGTAAAGTATCATCCATAGACTGTATACAAATGGACAATGCTAACCCGCTAAGGCCCAAGCTGCCCAATAGGGAAGTGCTCCAGGTGAAGTTTTGCTCACTGATCTCTCTCTGGCTCCTATTGACTTACATTGAAGAGTAAGATAAACTCCACTAGCTCAATAACCGTTCGTGTCACACTTGAATATCAGTGGTTCAGCTCTCGCTCTGATCTTGGTGTTCATGTTCTGATGTGTGAAATTGTCTTTGTCAGTCCAGATATGAGCCAAATAAGGGTTGACCTTATATGGCTCAGTATTCATTCGTAGGGAATCTCCAGGTTTCCCTAGCAACCGTCTTAGTACTCTGTGTGAATCTCCTCTCGGAAATCTCTAACCCTAACTCTTGTCTCTCTCTTGTCTCTCTCTTGTCTCTCTCGTCTCTCGTCTCTCGTCTCTCTCGTCTCTCTTGTCTCTCTCTTGTCTCTCTCTTGTCTCTCTCTTGTCTCTCTCTTGTCTCTCTCGTCTCTCTTGTCTCTCTCGTCGTCTCTCTCGTCGTCTCTCTCGTCTCTCTTGTCTCTCTCTCGTCTCTCTCTCTCGTCTCTCTCGTCTCTCTTGTCTCTCTCGTCTCTCTTGTCTCTCTCGTCTCTCTTGTCTCACTTGTCTCTCGTCTCTCTTGTCTCTCTCTTGTCTCTCTCGTCTCTCTCGTCTCTCTTGTCTCTCTCGTCTCTCTTGTCTCTCTTGTCTCTCTCGTCGTCTCTCTCGTCTCTCTCGTCTCTCTCTTGTCTCTCTCGTCTCTCTTGTCTCTCTTGTCTCTCTTGTCTCGTCTCTCTCGTCTCTCTTGTCTCTCTCTTGTCTCTCTCGTCTCTCTCGTCTCTCTTGTCTCTCTCTTGTCTCTCTCGTCTCTCTTGTCTCTCTTGTCTCTCTCTCGTCTCTCTTGTCTCTCTTGTCTCTCTTGTTTCTCTCTTGTCTCTCTCTTGTCTCTCTCTTGTCTCTCTCGTCTCTCTTGTCTCTCTCGTCGTCTCTCTCGTCGTCTCTCTCGTCTCTCTTGTCTCTCTCTTGTCTCTCTCTTGTCTCTCTCTTGTCTCTCTCGTCTCTCTTGTCTCTCTCGTCGTCTCTCTCGTCGTCTCTCTCGTCTCTCTTGTCTCTCTCGTCGTCTCTCTCGTCGTCTCTCTCGTCTCTCTTGTCTCTCTCGTCTCTCTTGTCTCTCTCGTCTCTCTTGTCTCACTTGTCTCTCGTCTCTCTTGTCTCTCTCTTGTCTCTCTCGTCTCTCTCGTCTCTCTTGTCTCTCTCGTCTCTCTTGTCTCTCTTGTCTCTCTCGTCGTCTCTCTCGTCTCTCTCGTCTCTCTCTTGTCTCTCTCGTCTCTCTTGTCTCTCTTGTCTCTCTTGTCTCGTCTCTCTCGTCTCTCTTGTCTCTCTCTTGTCTCTCTCGTCTCTCTCGTCTCTCTTGTCTCTCTCTTGTCTCTCTCGTCTCTCTTGTCTCTCTTGTCTCTCTCTCGTCTCTCTCTGTCTCTCTTGTCTCTCTTGTTTCTCTCTTGTCTCTCGTCTCTCTCGTCTCTCTTGTCTCTCTTGTCTCTCTCTTGTCTCTCTCGTCTCTCTTGTCTCTCTCTTGTCTCTCGTCTCTCTTGTCTCTCTCTTGTCTCTCTTGTCTCTCTCGTCTCTCTTGTCTCTCTTGTCTCTCTCTCGTCTCTCTTGTCTCTCTCGTCTCTCTTGTCTCTCTCTTGTCTCTCTTGTCTCTCTCTTGTCTCTCGTCTCTCTTGTCTCTCTCTCGTCTCTCTTGTCTCTCTCTTGTCTCTCTTGTTTCTCTCTTGTCTCTCTCTTGTCTCTCTCGTCTCTCTTGTCTCTCTCTCGTCTCTCTTGTCTCTCTCTTGTCTCTCTTGTCTCTCGTCTCTCTCGTCTCTCTTGTATCTCTCGTCTCGTCTCTCTCGTCTCTTCTCTGTCTCACGTCTCGTCTCTCTCGTCTCTCTTGTCTCTCTTGTCTCTTGTCTCTCTCGTCTCTCTCGTCTCTCTTGTCTCTCTCTTGTCTCTCTCGTCTCTCTTGTCTCTCTTGTCTCTCTCTCGTCTCTCTTGTCTCTCTTGTCTCTCTTGTTTCTCTCTTGTCTCTCGTCTCTCTCGTCTCTCTTGTCTCTCTTGTCTCTCTCTTGTCTCTCTCGTCTCTCTTGTCTCTCTCTTGTCTCTCGTCTCTCTTGTCTCTCTCTCGTCTCTCTTGTCTCTCTCGTCTCTCTTGTCTCTCTTGTCTCTCTCTCGTCTCTCTTGTCTCTCTCGTCTCTCTTGTCTCTCTCTTGTCTCTCTTGTTTCTCTCTTGTCTCTCGTCTCTCTTGTCTCTCTCTTGTCTCTCTTGTCTCTCTCTTGTCTCTCTTGTTTCTCTCTTGTCTCTCTCTTGTCTCTCTCGTCTCTCTTGTCTCTCTTGTCTCTCTCTCGTCTCTCTTGTCTCTCTTGTCTCTCTTGTCTCTCTCTTGTCTCTCTTGTCTCTCTCGTCTCTCTTGTATCTCTCGTCTCGTCTCTCTCGTCTCTTCTCTGTCTCACGTCTCGTCTCTCTCGTCTCTCTTGTCTCTCTTGTCTCTCGTCTCTCTTGTATCTCTCGTCTCTCGCCTCTCTCGTCTCTCTCGTCTCTTCTCTCTCTCACGTCTCTCTTGTCTCCAGGGGGATGGAGTGGGACACTGGGCTTCATGGTAAAGGCTCCACGGTGCGCTCTCTGCTCTCGGACTTGTACGAGCGCGTGGGCGAGCTCAAACTCTGGGGTCTCATCCGGATGATCTCAGGGATGCTCAAGAAGAAGGTGGAGGAGCTGGACTCGGTAAAGACGTCATAAACTAGACCTGGACAAAGTGCGGCCCGGGGTCACATACGGCCCGATTCAAGATTCTATGTGGCCCTCAGTGGTTTTTCCCATCGGCAAATTGTATACTGTCTCTCCTTATTTAATTCAAGTATAAATAATGACCAATCTGTATCTTTAACAGATTTAAGACAGTCAGAATTACCTCATATTTGATCATTTTTCACAGTGAGGTGTGTGTTGTGTGCAGGCGTGCTCAGATCTGCTGGCTCACCAAAAGCACCTCACTGTGGGGTTACCTCCGGAGCCCCGAGAGAAGACCATCACCGCACCCATCCCTCCCGACCAGCTGGCGGCGCTCATCGACGAGGCCAGCGACGGCAACATCAGCGTGGCCATCCTCACCCAGGTACAAGCCCCAATGCAGGACCAGACTCACCCAAACCTGTGACTGAGCTGTGAAAAACTGTATCAAGGAAACTGGATCCTTCTGGGACAAGGCCAGCAGATGCATTTAAGAGCACAGGAAAAGCCATGCTGATATTAGAGAGAGAGAGAGACCGAGAGAGAGAGACACAGGACCTCACAGGCGTCAGGGTCTGGGTGTCCTGGTGTCATGTGACCTCCTTCCTGCAGGAGATCATGGTGTACCTGGCCATGAGCATCCGCACGCAGCCCGCTCTGTTCAGTGAGATGTTCAGGCTCAGGATTGGCCTCATCATCCAAGTCATGGCCACAGAGCTGGCACAGTCCCTCAGCTGCTCCGGTAATAAGACACACACACACACACACACACACACGCCATTGGGACAAATGCCCATATAAGGAAATTGGCTCCAGCTAGCTTACTGTATGTTCAAATTGGCTTCTTCCACCTTCAGCACTTTTGTCATCATTCAGTCAGTCCATTCCTAATATGGAGTCTATGGTATTATCTCACAAAGAAAAATCTGGTAGAAAATGCTAATATCTTTTCAAACAACTTGTAAGTCAGTAAGAATAACATAAATTTGTTTAATTGATCTGATAGAGATCCGTGTCTGCGGCGTTTCCTGATGTTAAGCTTGGTTATTTTGATTCTTGCAGGAGACGAAGCGACCGACAGCCTGATGAACATGAGTCCGTCTGAAGTGAAGAACCTGCTGCACCACATCCTGAGCGGGAAGGAGTTTGGAGTGCAGCGCAGCAGTGAGTGGCCACACGGGGGCGCTGTGTGGGAAAACTTTGCTTTAGTTCAGTGGTCTCAAACATGTAGCCCCCCCCCCTAGTGGACAGTAATCGTTAACGTCAGTGTGGTCATGTATTGTATTAGACGGCTGCCTTCTGCTGCCTCCTCCATGGACGTTTAACCATGGAAATAGAAAGAACAACTTTGGTCTAGTTTTGTGTGCTTTTGTCCAGACGACCTGCAGTAGAACTAGTTATTAACAGTTTTTCTTAACGTATGTGTGTTCAGTGCGCGAGCTGGAGGCCGGAGTCAGTCCTGCCATCTCCATCCATCAGCTCGGAAACACGGGCGCCACGAAGAGCGAGCGGGCGGGAATCAGCAAACTGAAGAGCGACATGAAGATGGTGAGAGCACAGGGAGTCTGTGGGTGTCTGTGGGTGTCTGTGTGTGTCTGTGTGTGTCTGTGGGTGTCTGTGGGTGTCTGTGGGTGTCTGTGGGTGTCTGTGGGTGTCTGTGGGTGTCTGTGTGGGTCTGTGGGTGTCTGTGGGTGTCTGTGTGGGTCTGTGGGTGTCTGTGTGGGTCTGTGGGTGTCTGTGTGGGTCTGTGGGTGTCTGTGTGGGTCTGTGGGTGTCTGTGTGGGTCTGTGGGTGTCTGTGTGGGTCTGTGGGTGTCTGTGTGGGTCTGTGGGTGTCTGTGGGTGTCTGTGTGGGTCTGTGGGTGTCTGTGTGGGTCTGTGGGTGTCTGTGTGGGTCTGTGGGTGTCTGTGTGGGTCTGTGGGTGTCTGTGGGTGTCTGTGTGGGTCTGTGGGTGTCTGTGTGGGTCTGTGTGGGTCTGTGGGTGTCTGTGTAGGTCTGTGGGTGTCTGTGGGTGTCTGTGTGGGTCTGTGGGTGTCTGTGGGTGTCTGTGTGTGTATGTGGGTGTCTGTGTGGGTCTGTGAGTGTCTGTGTGGGTCTGTGGGTGTCTGTGGGTGTCTGTGTGGGTCTGTGGGTGTCTGTGTGGGTCTGTGGGTGTCTGTGGGTGTCTGTGTGGGTCTGTGGGTGTCTGTGGGTGTCTGTGGGTGTCTGTGTGTGTCTGTGGGTGTCTGTGTGTGTCTGTGTGTGTATGTGGGTGTCTGTGTGGGTCTGTGGGTGTATGTGGGTGTCTGTGTGGGTCTGTGTGGGTCTGTGGGTGTATGTAGTTGTCTGTGGGTGTCTGTGTGGGTCTGTGGGTGTCTGTGTGGGTCTGTGTGTGTCTGTGTGGGTCTGTGTGGGTCTGTGGGTGTCTGTGTGGGTCTGTGTGGGTCTGTGGGTGTCTGTGTGGGTCTGTGTGGGTCTGTGGGTGTCTGTGTGGGTCTGTGGGTGTCTGTGTGGGTCTGTGGGTGTCTGTGTGGGTCTGTGGGTGTATGTGGGTGTCTGTGTGGGTCTGTGGGTGTCTGTGTGGGTCTTTGGGTGTCTGTGTGGGTCTGTGTGGTTCTGTGGGTGTCTGTGTGGGTCTGTGAGTGTCTGTGTGTGTCTGTGTGGGTCTGTGAGTGTCTGTGTGGGTCTGTGGGTGTATGTGGGGGTCTGTGTGTGTCTGTGTGTGTCTGTGTGGGTCTGTGTGGGTCTGTGTGTGTATGTGGGTGTCTGTCTGTAAGGGTCTGTAGGTATCTGGGTGTCTGTGGGTATCTGTGGTATCTGGGTATCTTGGGTATATGTGGGTGTCTATGGATATTTCTGTCTGTGGTTGTCTGTGGTTATACGTGGGTATATGTGGGTATATAATAATGCATCAGTTTAATATATCGCTTTTTGGACACTCAAATACATGTCTTAATTCACTCCATACACGGTGGTGACACACCACTGTAGCCACAGCTGACACACAAACAGAAGCGAGGCAGCCGGTATGCGCCATCGGCCCCTCCCACCACCAACCATTCACCCACACACCAGACTCATTCTATATGGGGTTGTGTGGTGATGGTGTGGTTTATTTGTAGGCAAAAATCTACATTTTTAGTCAATAATTCAGGAAATATAAAATCTTGAGAATGAGGTGATAAACTCCTCTCCTGACCCTGATCATAAGTCTCGATCCCTTCGTTCTCAATAGCATGAGTCTTTAGTCGTAGTTGTGGATGAGGCTCTGATGGTAAAGCTGCCCATTCTTCTTGGCAAAAAGCCTCCATGTAGCCTCCTGTAAATTCCTGGACCGCCTTGTTTTAACTGCAAAATTTGGATTCATTCATAGTCTGTGAATAATATGGACAAAAGACTGAGATCTCTGCCTGGTGTGTGAGCTTTCTCTGTGGCGAGGCTCCCTCCAGGGGTTCAGCATAACCTTTAAAACTCGAACGCATGAAATGATGTGGTGTGTTTGCAGCTGGAGCACAGGTTGTCTCTGTCGGATGTGAGTAACATGAACCTCTTCTGCTCAAAGGGTGAAACTCGTTCATCTTTTTTTCTTTGGGGGAATCTGGATCTGTGCTGAAATCACTCTCTTCTCACTGATAATGTAACAGACCATGGACCCCCCCCCCCAGAGAATATAAACTGTTTTCTTTCTTATTAATCCCGTAGCACCCTCGGTTACCAACATGCAACACAGAGTTCAAAGGTTATGGCAGAAGAAGACAGACTTTTTGGTTTAATGCATTAACTAATGAAGGAGCGTCTAAACTTTTAACTAAGAGGGCCACTTTACGTTGCCAGACTTGTTCAGGGGCTGACAACACGGATTTTGATTCTAAATGGGGTGTAACGTGACCATTTTTACATATAACGTGTGAGAGCTGAGGTTAGTTGAATAGCTTTCTTAATAGCTACATCAGTATCAAAGACACATTTTTGTGCCATAATGAAAAACAAATGTCAGTGCAGGTTCCAAAGGTTTTGAGCTTTACAATGATGTATAACATGCCTGTATTGGAGAAGTGGAAGTTGGCTGGATAACACGATGAACATGGTATTTTGGGTTAGCAAGGCATAGGGCCCACAGCGGGCACCAATTGGCCCTTGGGCCTTAGTTTGGACATGCCTGAACTGATGTATTGCCCAAGAACCCAAAGAAGCAAATATTCTACCTTAAATTGGTCATTAAATGCTGTTTTCAAAAATTAGCATAGATAATTTTTTTCAACAAATTATTTTCTGTCTGGATTCTAAGGAGTTAAATCAAAATTTGTGTCTAATAAGAAATGTGAAAGTGCCTCTGTGTGCCTTCATTTAGATTGCACTGTGTTATAATGAGAGAAGCAGAATTCCATTTCCCACTTCTAACATTCCATACGTTTATACCATTATCTGACATTAATCACAATATAATTCCAAGTAGATATTCCCAAGATCATGTGTAAGGGACAACATAAACATTGATATGATTACAATAAGAAAGATAAATGTTCTTATTGTGATTCAGAACAAGGACTGGTCTGTTACATTATGGTTTCATTGGTGTAATTTATGGACGGTCTATTCTTTATTTTCAGATGAATCAGTGGTTTTTAGATTTCATCAAATAATTTTTTATAATCATTGTTTTTTATATATGAAATATATATATATATATATATATATATATATATATATATATATATATATATATATATATATATATATATATATATATATATATATATATATATATATATATATATGTTTATGTCTAATCTAACTCTGACCTTTTTCGGGGAATTATTGCGGTCTGGACTTTTATAAATTAATTGGTCTCGAATCCTAATCTTTTTCTTTGTAATTTATGTCTGAGTTATGCATTTTAAAACCTTAACATAACGAGAGTTACGACTGTAACTACGGTTCTATGAATCCTGGATGACCGCCAGAGGCGGTGCTTAAGCACTGGATGATCATCCTCGCGCATGCACAGATCGAGAGTCAAATAACAGCAAAGTCACCCGTGACCTCCGGTAGCTCACGCGAGAGTCTATAAAGCCACGTGACACCGGAAGCACAGTCCCTAGAACCTTTCTTGCACAAGGATTCCGAGGGACCGGGCACTCTGGCGGTCATCCAGGATTCATAGAACCGTAGTTACAGTCGTAACTCTCGTTCTATTTCATCCTTCCTGACCGCCAGAGGCGGTGCTTAAGCACTGGATGACGAATATCAGCAAGGTCACGAGGAAACCAACCAGAACCTCACCTTACTGTGAAACGGATGAGCGGCGCCGCAGAACCCCCTGCAGGGGGTGCGGGGCGGCAACATTAACCCGATAAAACCTGGCGAAGGTGCTTGGGGACGACCATGACGCCGCCGCACAGATGACGTCCAACGACACACCACTCACAGCAGCCCACGAAGTTGACATGCCCCTCGTAGAATGGCACCTCACCCCAGGCGGTAACGGCAGCCCCCGCAAGGCATAGGCCTCTGTCACAACCCCCACGACCCAGTGGGAGAGACGCTGCTTGGACAGAGCCCGACCAACGCGAGGGCCGGCGCAGCAGACAAACAGGGCGTCTGAACGCCTTATCGAGGCCGTGGAGCGAATGTACACCTCCAGTGCACGAACAGGGCACAGAGGGTCAGGGGGCTCACCAGAACCAAAACGGGCCAACTGAAGGGGCCCGTCATACCGACCAGAAGACACCTTCGGGACAAAGGACACATCCGGCCACATAGACACACCCGAGCCGTCAGGATGCCAACGACAACAGGCCTCGGTCACCGACAGAGCATGGAGTTCACTCACCCGCCGTCCGGAGGCCATAGCCAGGAGAAACGCTGTCTTCATAGACAGCCACTTGAGGGCAATCTCCCCCAAAGGCTCAAATGGCGGGGAACGCAGGGCATCAAGGACAACCGAGAGGTCCCAAGCCGGCACCACAGGACGACAGGGCGGGTGCAACCGGCGGGCACCTTTCAAAAACAGTGAAACGTCAGTAACACGACCGACACTAGTCCCACCAAACCCAGCGTGCCCACACGAAATCGCAGCAACGTATACCTTCAGGGTGGACGGAGAACGGCCTTTACTGAGCAGTTCTTGAAGGAAGGTCAGTATGGACGTCACCGAGCAGAGACGCGGGTCGAGTCCCCTGCCACGACACCACCCGTCGAACACGTTCCACTTACAGGAATACAGCCGGCGTGTGGACAGAGCCCGGGCATTGCACATGGTGCGGCCAACCTCCCCAGTATAGGCTGTAAACGCTAAACCGGTCCCCGGAGGTGCCACACCCAAAGCCGCAGGCGGCCGGGGTCCGGATGGAGAAGCCGGCCCCCCAGTTGAGACAGGAGATCCCGCCTGGAGGGAAGGGGTCTCGCCAAGCCGCAGCAGAGCCTGAGCAGCAAGGGAAACCATGTCCTCCCCGGCCAATACGGGGCCACCAGTATCATCCTGTGGCCCTCCTGAAGGACCCGGAGCAGCGTCTGATGGATCAGAGGGAACGGCGGGAACGCGTACAGCAGAACCCTGGGCCAGTCGTGAGCCAGCGCGTCTTGACCCAGGGGACCGGTGGACTCCAACAGGGAGAACCACAGCGGGCAATGAGTCGTTCCCTGAGAGGCAAAGAGATCCACCCTCGCCCGGCCGAACAACCCCCAAATGGAGACCACTACCTCCGGGTGTAGCCGCCACTCGCCCGGCAGCGAAACGTGGCGCGACAGGAAATCCGCCGACACATTCAGAGTCCCTGGGATGTGCATCGCGGTCAAACCCGCAAGACGGGGATAGGCCCAAGTCAACAGCCCTCGTGCCACTGCCAGCAAGCACTCCGACCGAGTTCCCCCCTGGTGGTTGATGAAATAGACCACACTGGTGTTGTCCGACCGCACCAACACATGCCGCCCCCGCAAGACCGGCAGGAAATGGCGCAGCGCAAGCTGAACGGCCAGGAGCTCCAGGACGTTGATATGGAGCCCCCTCTGCCGCACCGGCCAGACGCCCTGAACCGCACGCCCCTGCCACGTTGCGCCCCACC